GGCTGTACGGATTAAGACTTATTTTGTCAAATTTCATTTACTCACACCAAACATTTTAAACGTTATATAGGATTGAATTTATTATTTAACATACTTTTACCTAAATGTAATTCTCGAAAATGTTAATTATCACAAATCTTATGCCAACCAGTGAAGATATGACATATATTTCTTTTTACCTTTCCGCCTTCTTATTTTGATATAAAAATGATTGGTAATTTTTCTTTGGCAAAGTTTTTTTAACACCGAGAAATTTTGCAAATATGTGAACAAGTACACAAATATACTCAGCAGATAGGCTGGTGTAAATTCTAGGGTATATAAAGACTTTTCAACATAGTTTTAGTCTTGAAGAATAGTTAACATGTGCTCATAATAAATATCTTAAAAAGAAATTGTAAAATGTAAAAAAAAATCACTGGAAGTTGAGGCAGATTCCCATACAACGAAAGAACATGTACATCATGTAACTTAGATATCGGCGATGAATACCATTACACACGTGAATGTTCTGTGTTAAAAAGTTCCAGAAGTAAATGTGTTAAAGTGGATATCTACAACAACAACAACACCAACATAAATGTTTATTCATGCATGTCAGGCTCATATAAAGAACAACATGAAGGACAATAAAGTTATAAACAATTTATTGGTGACAGTGATGAAACATATAAATGTACTCATACAAACTAGAACAAAATAATGTAAAACATTATATATACCTTGACAAAGTTAACCTACATACATTGTAATTGTTTACTATGATTGATAGAACTTTAATTATGAATTGAATCATTTCCGCATAAAACGTAACGGTCTATATTTAGCCCAAATAATTTTCAATATGTAAAATTATGAATTATAACACTGAAATGAAAACCGTATATACGCGGTTTCTCTGTATGCAAAAGATACTATTTACCCCAACACCCGATAAATAAATAAATTATATACTGAAATGTTTAAAAATATATGGACTGACCTTCACAAAGTATCACGTGATGTAGACAAAGTGAATAACATACAATGACATGTATGTGTCGCAGAATGCATTAAAATTTGTACAAGCTGTATTGTTTTCTTTTAAAGGCATTTTCTACAGTAGACATATAGGCAGAATGAAACTGTAAACATACAACAGAAGTTACTCAATCTTGGCATGATTTAAGAATATAAAAAATCAACAGAGACATTGCATATTATTATATTCAGGGGTCACCAAGCATTTTCTGCCCTTGAAACTGTTAATGTTCCTGATTTAAATGGTGTACAATTCACAATCAAAGCAAACAAAACCTATGTTTCTGTTTTTTTCTGCTTTTTATGTAGATTCTAGCTGATTTCCTTTTGACGTTTTTTCCCTTTTTTTATTTACTTATTTATTTATTCAATTTTAAGATTTCATACAGAGTAGATTGATTTTTTTTACCATTGCACTTTTTTTATATCAATGATCTGCTTTTTTATAACAAAAATTAGGGTAGATGGAGAACGAAATGCATTTGATATAGATATTTGGACTCTGGAAATGATAACGAGACTGTAAGGGGTACGATATGCATTTGATATAGATATTTCGGACTATGAAAACGAGGCTTTATAGGTACGATAAGTATTTGATATTCTGTTCTATATTGCATTCTGTTGGACTCTGGAAATGAAAAACGATGCTTAATTGATAAGATAGGGTCCTATAATGATTTCATTTGGGACATCACGTGGTTTAAACCTTGAAAGTTCAATGGTTAAATTGTATAAGGTGTGAAATAAAATATGATATTGTACAAGTATTTCTTATTACTGCAACATGTTGAATCTATATGGTGGATGATATGAAATTTTATCTTAAATTTTACCGATCTCCATGCTAGTAGAAGGGGATGACAATACATAACGCCGATGACCAGGAAATAGGTCTCATTAAGGAGAAGTAAATGCTTAAAACATTTGATGTTAAATTACAATAGTTATTCCCCTTCTTTTGTCAGGAAACTTTAGATTTCTTTTTGAGGATTATATATTGGCAAGCACAAACAGAAATTATCCATTATGAAACAAATTAATTGTGTATTATATAAAAAGGTAAATCAAGGCAAATTCTTGAGCATTATTTTCATACATTCAAATATTTTAAAATAATTCCCTGTCTCATTAAACAGTCTAATATTTTACAAACATTTATTTTTCAGTTATATATGCTCATGTCAAGTGTCATACATGTAAGTCATATATTGTATCTGTATTTGTAATTATTTGTTATTGTTATGCTTAAACCAATAATAAAATTCCTGTTCTGTTCTGTTTTGTTATTTTCTGTTCTATTAATTGGAAAGAAAACATACAAAACATTCTAAGACTATTTATTTGTGTTACACAAACCTAATCACTAACATAAATGAGCTTACATTTAAAAGAGAATAGCTATTTCTCTTAAAAGTAGTAATTATTTTGTTTTTGTGTTTGGCGAGAAAAAAAAACAACTAGAGAACATTACATACATCACTTACTTTTGGCAATAAATACAACACAAATATGACATTATATAGCAGAGACTTTTATAAATAACCGAAATGAAATACAATTCCGTGATTATAGTGGAGGATTAAAAATGTGTAATTACTATAATTATTACAATTACTATGTGAAGAACAGGAAAATTCTTTACTTCAAGGAATAAGATAATCTTGGTGGCGGCAAAAAAGTCCAAAATAGGGCCTAGATAAAGATAGACCTATCTCAATTTTGCTAACCATAACTTTTTTAAAGCATTTAAATTTGAATCATAATTATACAGTTATATAAATTTGGTAGATCACCATATCCAAAAAAATAATAGCTTTTCAAATGCACCAATAAAATAAAGTCAAACAAAATCACAGAACATGCTAGGTATATTTACTTCGATCAGAGACATTGATAACATCTCTGCTAGACTGGAATCTAGAATAAATGCATGTCTGTATAGTCAATTACAAAAACAAATTTCTCCCTTAAAACGTATACCGTATAATTTTCAGCTGAAATTTAAAAAAAAAACGCATAAATCTCATCTTGTTTGGGTTAAATTGATGCATTAATTTGACAACTTGTAACAAAGGTAAATTGGAAAAGGTGAATAAATTATAGAAACGTGCAAAGATTATATTATGCACTTTATTATAACTTCTAAAACAATTAAATACAAAATACTGGAACAATACATAGATATTTATTTTAGCTTTGCAAGCTAACCATGCTTAAACAATGTAATGGTATAGGTCTTATTAAACATTGTAAAAAATCTGAAAAAAAAAATCTTATTTTTCACTAAATGTTCAATCATGGGGTGCAAAACGTACACAGAAATTGTGTTAATCTATATTAATAATATCTGGTAGTCATTCCAGGGAGTCAAATCAGCAAGTCGTGCCTAATAAAGACCCCATAATAAAAAAGCGCGATATTTACCTACGTTGTGATGCGTCTACTGCTCCAACACTTGATTTAAACATATTTTATTGCTCTTTTTTTACACATTTATAACATAATATTATCATAATATAAATACAAAAGTAGCAAAAGGGTTGAACCACGAGTTCTTACAACATAAACGGTTCTTCCCTGATATATGGAATTATCTAATAATAATAAGACAGTTACAATCCAAAATGTATGATAGTAGAGCAATTAGGGAAAAATGCACAAGGAGAAAGAAGAAGAAAAACATTAAATAAAAAGAAAAGAAAAAAGGGGGATAGAGTTCAGTATGTAGGGATATCAATTGAACGTGGTAAGTAGTACAGATAATATAAAAATGTTAAGATTCAATTCTAAACGATAATTTAATAAGTAATTGTACCTTATCAAAAATAAATGAGTTATTCTCATCAGAAAGAGATTATTTTCCAAACCAGAGGGTCATTACGCTCAAAGGATGGAAACTGCGAGTTGAGCGGAATAACTGCACTCTTATTCGTTATATTTGGGACATTTAAAAAAGTAATGTTCGGCATCTTCAATACTGAATGTACAGTAGCTACAAAGTGAGTTATCTCGTAGATGGTTTTTACAAAGATTCGCATTAAGATTACTACATTCGTTTCTAATACGTGCATGGTAAACAGATAATCTTTGATCTCCGTATACAAAATATTTAGGAACAACTAGCCTGTGGTTTATAAATTTCTTTTGAGACGAGATTTAAAAATATTAAGAGAAGTCGCATGTCTGATATGATAATCCAAATTGTTCCATAACTCTATGGCTGAAGGAATGAAAGATTTTGCGAATATTTGTGTTCTCCGTGCGATAGTCACATAGTTATTATCATACTTCGGAGGAAGTATGGCGTAGAATTAGCGACACTATGGGGGAAAAGATTAAGTAAGTAGCTTGGAACATTGTTTTGATGGGCTTTGTAAACTATAATTAATTTATGCATAATTCTTCTATCCGACAAAGATACCCAGCCAATTTCTCTATGTAAACGGTCTATAGATACCGATCTAGTTAGGCCTGTGACAACACTATGAGTTAAATCTTAATTGAAAGGGTTTATACATAAAAGAATCCTCGTCAAGAGAAATAGATCAATATCTATATATAATTCAATAATAAAAGAGAGTCGTTAGCTTGTTGTGCTTTAGTTGTTCTAAAAAAAAATCAAAACAGCCGTTAATAGCGTACACGTTTGTTGCATTTGTTTTTCTTTGTTGCATTTGTTTTTCTTTTTGGTGTAAACTGTGTCTTTTTTGTGTTTATCAAAATTTACCCAGATGGGCCTCAATGAGCATGACACGGAAGTGGATCTATACTGATCTAATTTGACGTCACGGTGTAAGAATATATACTAATACTACAAGAAAATAGTCCGAAAGATATTTGCTAATATTATAGTCAAGACTAGTTTTCATTTTAAAATAAAAGAAATAAATTGTAAGTCACACAATTGTTTATCGTTTTAAGAATTATTTGCATCTTTGCCATCAAAGAGCAATATAAATTACAACTCACCTGGTACTATTTTCATCCTTTCATCCGGTGGCCGCCATCTTGACAAATCGGAGCACTAAGTTGGGAAGTGACTCACCGGCAAGCCGGTATTTTTCGTAAAAATACCTGTTAAAAGACTACAGGACATACACATATAATTAGATAGGAAACTTATTATTTTAAAGATGTCACAAATGCTCCCGATACGTTTTCAGGAGCATCTGCAGGTAATAAAATTATGCATGTTTTTGATAACACCCCTCCAACACGCCCCTCAAAATTTTAAGTATTTTTCGGAATCTCCACGTATTACGTTTTTCGTATTGCGTATTTTATTACACTCTTAAGTGTCACATTATCCCAGTCCAGTTTTATAAGTTTGCAGCTACAATAATGACAAATAAAAGAACGTGTTTGAAGATTTTAGGGGGTGGATGTCCGTGATACAGAAAAAAATACTTTCAATCCTTTGACCTTTCTATTTTAGTGAAAGCATTTGAGAAACTTTCAAGTAAACATGCCATGAAATGTTGATTTATGTTTCAGTTTTTGCCAGACTAATTTTGTGCAACCTAAGTGTTGCAGATGTAAATATTTCCCAGTTGATATTTGTGTATGTCATTATGTGACATGACTTATTGTTTTGTTTACTTTTGCCACATTCAATTTCTATAATAAATAAAAGATTTAACTCAATACAGTGTTGGATCAGTACATATAGCTGCTTGCAGAAATCATGATCCCAAAGTTGAAAAATATTGAATTTTTTTCAATCAGTGTCATACATAAATAAAATCGGTGTGAAGAGATTAATTAGACATTTTAAAGTTCATGCTGTTGGGTGAAAAGACAATATCTTAGCATTTTCAAGCGCCTTGTCTGGTATATACCGGTATGCAGCATTTAGTGTGGTCCTCTTACACTTTTTAAGTCTTACTCATCAATAAATATATTAATATTGAACTTCATTTTCAATACACAATTCATGATTAACAATACATTATTTCTTTATTTGCATTGATTTTAAACAAAATATTTGATATAATTTTCTTTCCCTTCAAAATAAGCAGTACTGTTTGTTTGATCCTAATACAAAAGTAGCTCTAGGCCTATTAATTACTGTTATCAAAGTATTCCTTATTTATATCTGATGACTTTTTCTTTAATTTTTTTTTTAAATAAACATGTAAACTTGTCAAATAAAGAGTGAGTTTAGTTTTGAAGTTTTTCAGGAAAGTTTACTTCTGGCTACTTCTGTTTTTGTATGTGTCACCACAGTTTATGGTTGTGCTAAAATGATCTTTAAGCCAGTCATTTTTTTTAAGTTTCTAAGTTACCTGTAGTTTTCTGACACGGTAAATCACTATTAATCAGAATGTTCGGGAAATCTGAAATCTAACATCAACAAATAAAAATGCAACATAGCCATTCATTGAATCTAATTTTCAATTTAATTATTGAAGCTTAAACATGCAAGATTCAAAGCACAGGCAACCTTCACTCTATAATGACATATGATTATAAATTTATAGACAAGCTGTCTTGTTTGTTATGTCATTGAATGTACACTGTAGCATTTGGGGGAAAATGTATTTGGGGGATGGGGGGGGGGCAGGAGAAAAACCATATTAACTAAGAGCGTTTAACAAGTTGTATGTTGAAACACTCTGTTAAGCGAGAATCACTTTAAGACATGATATAATAAGAATTTTCATTACACAACAAAATCATTATTTCTTATTGCTCATGTTCATATGTTCATTTTCAGCTCCAAAATGTGGGAATCAATGCAGCAAACATTGGGTTTAGTTCCCTTACCATGGAATCTGACAAGTTTATTTGTGTACGAGAGAAGGTTGGAGATACAGCGCAAGTTGTCATCATTGACATGAATGATTCGTCAAACCCAATCAGACGTCCAATTTCAGCTGACTCGGCAATCATGAACCCTGCCAGTAAAGTTATAGCCCTGAAAGGTGAATATAATAAAATACTATCAGTGCAAGTTTTTTGGGGGTAAAATGTGAAGTCTAAGGACTGGAGGTAAAGTTTGTACATAATATTAAGGGGAAAAATCCCTTACCTTTTATGCCTTCAGGTTTAATAGGCCATGAAATCTCTGTAAAATACTTAAGTGTTCATTCATTTTCCTTGAGTCTAAAGTCTAAGCTTAATATCTAAACAAGTACTATGTTGATTGTAATGTTACAGTCTTCATACTGACATGACGTCATCTCTTTTGTCCCCAAAATACTCCACAAGTTTTATTGTATAAGTCGTAGATAAATATTTACCCAATATCAAGGAAGTTCTGGAAAACTGGTAAAATATTTTACTTTAAAAAAAACCCCACTAATTTTGAGCATATTGAACTGTATGGTTTTGGCTGCCTTGGAAATATTGTTGAATTAAGAATCATCAGAATTTATTCAACTGCAACAAGATGCATACATTTACAACTTAAATACTCCACAATTATTTTTTTTAAACTACATAAATAAATAGAAGCCATGGGCATGGATATTCTTCTATGTCAGCCTTGAAACTGTAGATATTTCATAGCCTATAAAGAATGAGATCTTCCAAATTATTGCCATTATCTCGGCAATGTTCAGAAAAACTAGAAGATTTTCTGTGTCATGTATAGCATGATACATTGGAAGCAAAATTCGATAAAGCAAATTCAGTAACTATGGATTGGGGTTATATTTGTAATATCAGCATTGTTTACTTAATATAGAATTACTGATTGTCTGTAGAAACTACTAAATGATTGTCTGTAGAAAGTGCGGAATAATATTTATTTTTTTGATCATTTTTCTAGTCAATTAAACAGTCTGGTTTGATAATGTTTTACTGAATTTATCTGCCAGCTTTGCACATTTTGCAAAATATTAATAGCTCTGTAAGACACTTGACCTCTCAATGTTGGATAAGATATCTTGGAATTGTCTGATGTCTCTTCATGCAAGTCTGTTCATAAATGATTGGTGTATTGTAAAAAATGATTATTGTTATTCAGAATCATGCACTTCAGTATCATTATTCAGGATGTAATTTAGTTATCAGCCCTTTTGTACTTATTATGTCAAAATTTGAGTAAGAACATCATAACATTATGTCATTTAATAGTATGACAGTGTAAGATCCATATGTGCTAATTTTCAGCATTTTCTGTGCCACATTGAAAATAGGAGAAAAATCAAATTTTCATTATATCGGAATTCATAGATGAGTTGTTTTTAAAATAAACAGAAAAGAGTGATGCTTTATTTATTGATTCAATATCTGGCTTCTTTTTCGTATGCTGGGGAGAGAGGTTTGGTTGTAGTATAGAGTGATTTACCGTGTTGTCTGCCTGTACTATACAGCTCTTACAATTATTGGAAATCTATCTTTGCGGTCCCAAGTTGGCTCTAATGTTTTCATTGATCATCTATTGGTGTGGTTTATTATCAGAACCGATGCACATGTCCATCTGCAAATATTGAAGGTTAAAATTTTTGACATTACTACATGTATAAAGGGGTTCAGTGTAACTTAGATGTAAATCAGTGTTTTTAATGAAAATGTTATGAAAAATATATGCCAATGTAATTGTTTATGCAAATTATCCAAAATAAGCCATTGATCAGATTCAGTGTGGTTGTACTGCCTATTTTACTGCTGCCGTAATGGCAGTGGAATGTTGTATGTTGTTTTGATTCGAAAAATATCCTGTTGTTACTTGTCCATATCCCCCAAGAAAAAAAAACACTGTGATTTCAATTTCAATTCACTTTAAAATGCAAATAGTTAATGAAAATTGAGTTGAAAAATTTGTCCAAAACATAACCCTCACTGTACAGTGCTTGTTTTGCTGCCATTAATATGTTTCTTTTCACTCGAAGTTTTTTTTTAAAGCTTTGAAAACCCCTTGGCTTTGTGGTGCATCACATTTTAATTTTCTTTTGGTAACTTTTAGCTTATATCCAAATGAAAAAATCTTTCTTATTTCTTTTACTCCTAATTTTTGCCTGTTATTTTTATTTCAATTTTTTCTCCAGCATTTAACAAGGTCACACACAAGTGTCAAAATTGATATTAACTGAGTTAAAGCATTTTTTTCAAATATGTATGTAATATATAAAGCATAGGTATTGTTAAAATATTAATGTGCTAAATTTACAATGTGCCACTTACTAACTTAGTGGTAATACGTAATAACAATATTTCATATAATGTAGATGTTATGTAGAACACCGAACCAGAGGCCTTGTGTTTGTTTATTGTTTACCTTTACAATATTAAAGATAGGTTCATTTTTTTACCAGACAGTATCATGCGTGCACTGCACATGCATGTAATGTTAGGTAATCATTTACATGTAACAAGGTACTATTGGTGCAGAATTTTAGATATAAGTTACACTTACAGTGTAGTTTTAATTAACTGGAATGCAGGGCAGACATTGTGCACCTTGTCTCTCACAGTTGTACCTGTACTAAAGTTTGAATTTGCAAAAAAAGGGGGATTTTCGTGTCAGGATGCTGTTATACTTTAGTTAGATAGGTTAGTGGTCGGTGGTTCTAGCTACGATTCTGCTTTTTGTTGGTAGAAAGACATCGAATATGTTCCCTCTATCTATTCATAGGCAAGCATTGAATTTAAGATTTTGAATTGACTTGCCTATTATTCTACTATATATTTTCTTAAAATTTACACTGGCCTGAACTAATTTTCACTGGCCGGAACTAATTTCAACTGGCCATGGGCCACTGGGCCAGTGCTAAATTCGATGACTGCATAAGTACTGTCACTGTGTGATGTCAAGAGTGTTGTGAGTTTAAACACAACTCAAAAAATCATGACCATAAGCTTACTTTGTTTTATAAATAAAGGAAGTCAGTACACCCATTTCCTTCTATCTAATTTATGATTCATATTATGTGATTATGTTTTGGGGTGATTTGATATACATGTTGAAGCTTGGACAAATCTGACAATGGCTGTCTTTACTGTATTCAAGCTACTTTAAATATGTATAATTTTCCTGTTTAAGTTTTTTATATCATGGAATTGGTCATGCATCCTGCTGTGCAACAATAAATGCATGATTTTTTAGCACATACGTAACCCTTAACTTGCTGGAACTGAAATTGATTAGACTTTGCCACTTGTATAGAGCATTGATGGCTCAATGCCGCCTGATTGGGCTCTTTACTGTTGGCTGACTGTCAACATTCCTAAAATTGATAATGGACAGTTCCAAAGATAAAAGCTGGACTAGTCCATTTTAGAAGTTCAGCAGGTTAAAGTGTAAATATTAATGTGAAGAAAATTATAAATTGCTAAAAAAAACAGGGATTTTTATTTAAATTGTAAATAAATGCATGCTTGATTCTTGACCAAATCTTTGCTGTATTGTAAATGCTTGTATCAGTATATAAGACTTGTAGTCATTAATACAATTTGTATTATTAATACAACAGTAACAGTTTGTGAAAAAAATTTGCTCATGTTGGTATTATATAAGAAATTATCAAGTAATAATTGAGTAAGATTGATATATATATTTTATGAATTAATTAATGAGTACAAGTCTTAACAAACACCTTTTTGTCATTTAACAGGGTCAGCACAGCCTGGGGATCCTAATGGTGTGTATTGTGTAACTCCCCCCTCCCAGTTAATGACCACACCCACCAAAAATATGCCCCTCCCACTTTCGCTGGTCATTACCACCACCATACTGTACTGTCAAATGTCCAATTTGTTTACACTAAATTTCTGTTTTTAGAACCTCTAGCTGATTTGATTATGTATGTTAGTAAATTTATTTTGTATGACAAGAAAGTTTCTGTAAAGATGTATTCATTTCTTTATGTCCAGACCTGCACAAGTCATATGAGTTTTAAAAAAGAGCTCATCACTTTATTTAGCATGTTCAATTGGTCACTCTTGGTTGATGCATGTTTTTTTAGCTCACCTGTCACAAAGTGACAGGGTGAGCTTTTGTGATCGCTTTTCGTCCGGCGTCCGTCGTCCGTCGTCCGTCCGTCGTCCGTCCGTCGTCCGTAAACTTTTACTTTAAATGACATCTCCTCATAAACCACTAGGCCAATTTCATCCAAACTTCACAGGAATGTTCCTTTGGTGGTCACCTTTAAAAATTGTTCAAAGAATTTAATTCCATGCAGAACTCTGGTTGCCATGGCAACCGAAAGAAAAAACTTTAAAAATCTTCTTTTAAAAAACCCTAAGAGCTAGAGCTTAGATATTTGGCATGAAACATCTTCTAGTAAGTGTCTACCAAGTTTGTTCAAATAAAAGCCCTGGGGTCAAAATTGGCCCCGCCCCAGGGGGTCATTGATTTTCCCTATATGCATATAGTAAAAACTTAAAAAATCTTCTTTTAAAGAACCCAAAGAGCTAGAGCTAAGATATTTAGCATGAAACATGTTCTAATGAGTGTGTACCAAGTTTGTTCAAATAAAAGCCCTGGGGTCAAAATTGGCCCCGCCCCGGGGGTCATTGATTTTCCCTATATGTATATAGTAAAAACTTAAAAAATCTTCTTTTAAATAACTCAAAGAGCTAGAGCTAAGATATTTAGCATCAAACATGTTCTAATAGGTGTCTACCAAGGTTGTTCAAATAAAAGACCTGAGGTCAAAATTGGCCCCGCCCCGGGGGTCATTGATTTTCCTTATATGTGTATAGCAAAAACTTAAAATCTTCTTTGAAAAAACCCAAATAGCTAGAGTTTAGATATTAAGCATGTAACATCTTCTAGTAAGTGTCTACAAAGTTTGTTCAAATAAAATCCCTGGGGTCAAAACTGGCCCAGCCCCAGGGGTGTCATTGTTTTTAACTATTTGTGTATAGTAAAAACTTTAAAAAATCTTCTTTTAAAAAGCCCAATGAGCTAGAGCTTAGATGTTTAGCATGAAACATCTTCTTATGGGTGTCTACCAAGTTTGTTCAAAAAAAAGCCCTGGGGTCAAAATTGGCCCCGCCCCAGGGGGTCATTGATTTTCCCTATATGCATATAGTAAAAACTTAAAAAATCTTCTTTTTAAGAACTCAAAGAGCTAGAGCTAAGATATTTAGCATCAAACATGTTCTAATAGGTGTCTACCAAGTTTGTTAAAATAAAAGCCCTGGGGTCAAAATTGGCCCCGCCCCGGGGGTCATTGATTTTCCTTATATGTGTTTAGCAAAAACTAAAAAATCTTCTTTGAAAAAACCCAAATAGCTAGAGTTTAGATATTAAGCATGAAACTTCTTCTAGTAAGTGTCTTCAAAGTTTGTTCAAATAAAAGCCCTGGGGTCAAAACTGGTCTCGCCCCAGGGGTGTCATTGTATTTAACTATATGTGTATAGTAAAAACTTTAAAAAATCTTCTTTTAAAAAACCGAATGAGCTAGAGCTTAGATGTTCAGCATGAAACATCTTCTTATGGGTGTCTACCAAGTTTGTTCAAATAAAAGCCTTTGGATTAAAATTGGCCCTGCCGGGGGGGAGGGAGAGGAGGGCGGGGGGGTTGTCATTGTTTTTCATTATATGTGTGTAGTAAAAACTTAACATCATGAAACATCTTCTAATGGCTGTCTTCCAAGTTTGTTCAAATAAAAGCCCTGGGGTTTAAACTGGCCCCGCTCCAGGGGCCTATATACAGGTGAGCGACCTCAGGGCCATCATGGCCCTCTTGTTTATAAAATTGTTCAATATTTTTCACTTATAGCTTTAGCAGCCAGTACCGAGTTCACAATTAACTGCTTGGTATGCAGTTTGTATAAGTAAAATTGTGTAAATATATAATACCATTATCACAATATTAGCTAAGCTCCTGATTCAAATTTATCTATATTGTTGAAAGATAGTACTGTGTTGACATATACATATATATATGTGTATACATGTCATGTACATGTGTATTTGTATATATATATATAATTATGTACATGTAATAAATCTACTCCGTTATGTTATCAACAAATACATACAAGGTACATTACTGTCATCTTCATGTTCATTCATGACAGAGGGTTTGGTGTGCATTTAACTTGGTTATCGTCATTGTTATCTTAATTGACATGATCCTTGGACACTTTCCTTGCTACATTAAATATTTGATACTGTTAAAAATAGCTGATATTGTTAATGTAATCTTTATGTTATCAGCAGAAAATAATCTACCAGACAAACCTGAATCCCTCCATATCTACAAATCATGCATATAACTTTAAGTAATAACAATGCCATTTCAGTGTTTTATATAAAATATTGCACAATGACAATCCTTTTCTGGCGTAGCATCTCGGGAATCGAAGTCAGAGCTCTTTAAAAAGCATATTTATGTGTTTTCATGCAATTTAATTTTTTTTTGCAACCGGACAGAAACATAAATCAGAATGCTTGTCTACTATATATGCATAATAAATTTAGAATGGAATTAATTAGGGATTCAGATGGTACAAATTCTGCATTCTTGGAGTTGATTAGGTTGAATCTAAACTTCACTGTGCCCATTTTGGTTTAACACAAGTTCTTTGCATATGGAACATTAATAATGTAAAAATAAAGTCAAGACAACACTATCTCATCATTAGAAATGATTGATACAAGTCATTCTTATGGAAAGTGAGCAATTGCAGATCTATGGAATAGGTTGAAAATAAGTTAGTATTGGTTACATGGGTGTTGGTTTCATTTCTTTTAATTACAGGTCCTGAATTGTTAAGTCAAATATTTTGTATGTTTGAAAAAAAAACAAGTCAAAAGTAACGCATTTGAAAACTTATTAAGACTGTATTTTCGTTTGTTAAAGAAGGAAATAAAACTTTTCATTTTCCAGTTTTTGACCATTTTATATATTGCACCTAAAGATTTTTTTCATACTGCATTGATCGATAAAGAGAAGTATTCCGCTATAAAAATGGTGTCAATACATGTACCCTGTGAATGAATTGCACTCCCAAGATTTTGAAGTGATAAGTTCTTTTATATATATTTTAGATTTTTCAAAAAATAAGTTCTTTTAGCCAAGATATTAGAAAAATGTCTGAGCATGAAAACTACAAAATTGTAAAGAAAATGAGATAAAACCTTGACAATGTCCTTGAAGCATTCATTTTGTCATTAATATGATAAATATAGGAGTGGCCTCTCTCCTTGTGTCTTACTATGATAAAAAAAGAAAATTGGGATACTGTGTTGGGAAAATAGAAATGTTAGAATTTCCAATAAAAGGCATTCACATATTCCGACCTAAGCTATTGGAAAGAGATATTTTTCCCAACCAATCAGAGATTAGGCAGTGGGTGAGAATCAATACAATGATACAATAGCAGTGCTACGATGCCATTTTTTTCCCCCAAAGTCACTTGAAGGTGTGTATATTGATTCATTCAAACATAATAGCTCTATTTGCGTAAGTAGTAAATCCAAAACTAATAATGCCCTTTAAGTGTTCTATTTATAGCATATCGGAAAGCGGTAGTAAAGATTTTGTGACAGTCATTTGCTTTTCACTAGTATTCGAAACTGCAGAATCCATTGATTTGTGTATTTTAGATGACAATCTCAAGAATGTTATACAATTACAGTATAATTTATCAAATTATTTGGCTTGTTAAGTTTGATCAGCCTCAATGCATTATATTACCCAACAACTCTATCTGTCATGCACCATCTCCCCCCAGCCCCTCCCGATTTCTGATATATTTACAATGTCCAGCATACTTTAGGACTGAAATCCTCGACTCTTGTTATTGTACAATTATATAACATTATGATATATGCAATTACTACTTAGTGTTGTATTTACTTGAAGTTTTTAGAAAATTTAAAAATTGATTGCTAGAATATAATATAATTATAGAATTAGCTTCTAATGAATGGTTTTAAAGGTATAAAATTTGGTAATTTATATATAAAAAGCTTGGGTATGGTGCAGCCACTGGATTAATAAACACTCAAAGCTTTATAACATTTAGCACACAAACAGGGTAGTGTTGACAATATATTGATGCACTTTTATGGTCCTGACTATTAATTGATTGAAATAATACATTGAAAAAATGCGAAGGAAAATGTTGTTTTTGTGATAATAGTCATTAAATGACTAAAGAAAATGTAAAATCTTAGGCTGACATACATGGTAGACTGCCATTTTGTTCCTATGACATTCATAGTACTGGATTGTCCAGGAAAAGGATTTTAGAGGAATTTGTAACAGTCTTACATGTAGGTGGATTTTTTCCACCGTCATACTTATAAAAATTTCAATTTTAATATATTACATTCACTTAGCAATTGATTTTGAAAATGATATATGATATTCAGTGATTAGTGATTAGTTAAAAGCGACATTCTCAGAATTTACATTATAAAAAACATCAGATAGTATCATCATTTTAAAAATTGCATGCCCAAAAAAAAAAATGAAAACTTCTTGAATTGCTTTGTGACTTATGAAATCATTCTTATTAGTTGACTTGATCATTTAATGCTCTGTGTCAATTACAGCTGGCAAGACATTGCAGATTTTCAACATTGAAATGAAAAGTAAAATGAAGGCTCACACAATGACAGAAGATGTCTTGTTCTGGAAGTGGATTTCTGTAAACACTGTTGCCATAGCAACCGAGACAGCTGTCTTCCACTGGTCTATGGAAGGTAAGAGATAATCCAAATTATTGTGAAGTTTTGTTTGGCCTTTTGGTTTATACAGATTGAGAATTTATTTTATTTTGATTGTGTAGGAAGCTTTAAGCTTATAGACACACATTCGAATCTGTTCCTGGAACCAACCAGTACTGATCAATGAGTGTCGAGTTTCTTGCTCAAGGAGACAACGACTTACCCCTGACGGGGTTTGAACCCATGCCGCTAGCGATCATTAGATTACTTGTCTGACGCATTTACCACTCGGCCATGTCGCCACACTGTTTTGCCTGTTTCTGTAAGTATACTAAGATCTCTTATACTGAAGGATTTGAACCGTGAAAACTTAAAAAGCTCAGCAGGAAATGCATTACATTTTAATGCAAACAAAAAAACTTCCTATGAAAAACGAGGCAGGAGGTAAAGGGTCATAAAGAAAATTAACGAGAATTTGTCATGTCTGGTATATATTGGCAAACATCCTATGAATAAATTGAATAAACAAGATCAAATGGAATTACGATATGACAGGGAGAAGTTGTTTGTTTTATAATGACCAGCAATTTGGCTTTAGACACAGAGGACAAGCTTGTATGTTGTATTTCTTAAATTTTTTTAGAAAAGTAGAAGACTTCTTCATACTGCTGTAAGCCTATTACTTAAGGTTGTAAATAAAGTAAAAGCATGTATGATGAAGAAACTTATGCTGTCAGGAAGTTCCGACAAGGGTTTATGTACATACTTGCATTGATTTTTTTTTTTGAAAATGTTATCAGAGCTCTGGCTGTTTGATGTTAACCTGCATCTGATGACTTGAGTTGTACCTGCAAATATGCTAATAGGGATTTTTTTATCATATTTAGTTAAAAATAAGAAATCTTTTGTACATGTAAAGGTCATGGACTTTATGGCCTTATGGAAATAAGATAGGCATAATTGACATATGAACATATATATTTTCAGGTGATTCGCAACCACAGAAAATGTTTGAACGTCACTCTAACTTGACAGGTTGCCAAATTATCAACTATCGTACAGATGCCAAACAACAGTGGCTTCTGCTTGTAGGAATATCAGCGCAGGTAACGTCCCTGAATAAATGGCCCCATGAAACAAAACTATTATGAAAATAAGTTATATGTTACCAGTAAAATAACCTACATTGTGTTTATGTATAGATATATATTTTTTAAGCATTTTGAGAAATGCACAGACTACAAATTAATAAGTGTGTAAATTATGAGTTACTTATCAATCTTGGTAAAACATTGCCTTAATGACAGAGATTTAGTCGAACAATATCTAGCTTTCATGACAGCTCTTACCATTGAATTTAGCGCAACAAATATTCATATTCAGGTTTAGGTAGAGAACAAATCTGAAAAAGTAAAAACTTCTTCCACTGTCGCTTTTCTTTGAAATAAAATTGACGTAGTATGGATAAACTGCAGGGTTGTCATTCAAATTTTTCTAAGACAATCTATTTGGAATGTTCAGTGGTCAATTTTGGTTTAATCATGTACAACAAAGAGTGTTGTCTAAGTTTTGAGGCAACCTACAAAGTATTTGAGCAAGTTAAATTGGCCTACAGCTGCCTACTATTTACAACATTTTTAACTCCTGTATAAAAAGACTCAAAGTTGATGGAAAGTATCGAATGCTTTCCTTTCCAACTAAACTTTATATTATAGCATTTAGAAAAAGTAGCAGTTTTTACCTTCTTCAGCAAAACCGTGTAGTTGGTGCTATGCAGTTGTACTCTGTGGAAAGAAAAGTTAGTCAGCCAATTGAAGGTCACGCAGCAGCATTCGCATCAATCAAACTAGAGGGTAATGCCACACCATCCACACTCTTCTGTTTTGGTGTTCGAGGTGCACAAGGGGGCAAGGTAAGTTACAAGTGTTTTTCCCAACTTTTTGTATAGGTGTAAGATTCTAGTTGATTTTCATACCAAAGGATCTAGTCGAAATAGATAAAATGGAACAGTATGTTCAGTAAACTAGTATAGTTTATAAGATAAAAAAATTGGTTACGGTTTTAGTGGATATTGTAACCTACAGTATGTTTAATAACTACATTTGTATAAGTATGTTTACATAAATTCAATGTTAACATTGGTGCTTCAGTGTAGAGACAGGCAACTGATCTGTGAATTAATGCCAAGACTTTCGTTAAGTTCCAAAATTTGGAAGTCAGAGACTGTAAAATCTCTGACATTGGAAGTCACATTATATAGACAAAGAAGAAAAAGCATTACATTTTGAAAATCACAAGCCAAAATCAAGGAGTAAATAATTTCCAGCCTTAATTAATGTAGCCTTCCACTTATTGGAAGCCCTGCATTCTCAGTCAGACCATTGTTGAAAATTATAAGATAAAGGAATGAATGAACTAGTAAAACAATTGATCATTTTCGTTTCAGCTGCATATAATTGAAGTAGGTCAACCAGCAACAGGCAACACACCATTCCAGAAGAAAGCTGTAGATGTATTCTTCCCACCAGAGGCTCAGAATGACTTCCCTGTTGCTATGCAGGTAATGTCTGGAAATGAATTCCCCAAAATGATGTTTCTTGTTCATTCTGTCTATTTATATAACATTTATTTGTTATAACCAAATTGCTTAGCTAAAATTCTAAAATGTTAAAGGCTTGATGTACCATTAAAACAAGGACATCAAAGTAACTACAAGAAAGTTACAAAAAATACTGTTGAGTATAAGATGTTATCTGGAACTACATAAAAGTTGGTTTTTCCAAGTTATTATCCTGGAAGCACCAACAAACTTTCACTATTATAGCTTCACTGTGTACTACTGTTCACAAAATATTAGTCAACCTGTTGTGCTTATTTTCGAAAATGTGACCAGAACGTTTGTTAGTACCCTAAATTACCTGGAAAAATCTAAAATATTCCTAATTCCAAAGTAAGTCTATTGCTTGACTTAATTGGGAAAAAAAAGTTATTGAAACAGATCAGGGGAAAGAGTTATAACTTTGAATCTCTTTAATTTATAGGTGAGCCAGAAACATGGTGTAATATTCTTGATCACAAAGTACGGCTATGTCCACTTGTATGACATCGAGAGTGCTACATGTATATACATGAACAGGATCAGTGGTGATACGATCTTTGTCACTGCGTCCCATGAAGCCACGTCAGGAATTATCGGAGTTAACAGGAAAGGGCAGGTTAGTTTTAGCTTTTAAGATACGTTCTTTGTTGATGTTCCTCTTTTGAAAAACATTTGGTATAACAATATTTCTTGTAATAATTTGTGAGATTTGAGGATGATGACCTTTCACATGTGTATATAAAGTAAATAAAATGGTGAACATTTTGTTGAATTGTATTTAGAAAAATCAATGAATAACAAAATTTTAACTTTATCATCCAGTACTGTACTATTGTAAACAGTTATTTGACAAGATGATGAACATTTTGTTAAATTTTGTTTCGAAAATATCAACAAATAACAAAAAATAAAAGCTTTATGTCTTATGATCTTGTACTGTACTATAGTGTCACACTGTTATTTGACAGCATATATATTACAAAAAGGTAAGTCCTCATTTTCATTTAAAAACAAAATAACAATGCTAGCTTTATTCCTCCCTATAACTAATTTCATGATCATCAGGGAGTAAGGTAATCATGTTTAAACTTTTCTAAAGCTAGTGTGTTTAAATGTAAATTGTTTCTTTGATCTAGGTGTTGTCAGTGAGTGTTGAGGAGGATAACATTGTGCAGTACATTGCAAACACCCTGCAGAATCCAGACTTGGCAATCAAAGTAGCATCACGCTCAAACCTGCCAGGAGCAGAAGACCTGTTTGTGAAGAAGTTCAACATGCTGTTCCAGAGTGGACAGTACAGTGAGGCCGCCAAGGCAGCTGCTAGTGCACCCAAGGTAAGCAGGAACAAAAACAAAACCATCAATTTTACAAAAAATGTTTCCGTTAGGTAAAATCAGAGTCAAGACATAAGAAATAGATTTATGTATAAACCTGTTATATGTTGCTGCATGCTGTAGTAGTATTTACCTGTCATTCAACTTTTTCACTTGTGTTAGTTAATCAGAGAATAGGCACAGAGGTGCCTAGCATCCTTGAGTAATCTTTCAAGCTGGGTTTATTTCGGAAAGGTCAGACATGTTTCCACATCTTGTGTAACATTTAGTCAAGGAAACTAAATAGTTTGTTAAGATCAGTTTTGAGCTTTTAATGTAACTCTATTTTAGCTAGACATTACTTGGTATTTTAGATATTTGACATCTGTTAAATATGGAATGAAGGCATACTTCAAATTAACTGGTAGTAAATTGATCAATGATTTGATATTGATATTTACTAATTTTGCAGGGTATTTTGAGAACCCCAGCCACCATTCAGCAGTTCCAACAAGTACCAGCCCAGCCTGGTCAGACGTCCCCACTCGCCTGCAGTACTTCGGTATCTTGCTGGACAAAGGTCAGCTGAACAAGTATGAATCCCTCGAGCTGTGTAGACCAGTTCTCCAACAAGGCAGGAAACAACTCCTTGAAAAATGGCTGAAAGAAGAAAAGGTAAATCACATTTTGTACATCAAAACCTGCTGAATTTGTGAAATAGATTTGCCCTGCTTTAAATTTTGAGCAGTCCATTTTAAGATCAAGGGATAACAATGTTAGAATTTCAAAAATGAGCTTTTAGTTGGCTGGCCTGGCCCTAAACGGACTAATACAAGGGCTAATCACTTTCTGTCACAGAAGTTGAAAGGTTAATACCTTTCTTGCTGTCAATCTTCACATGGTTTCAGAGTATATGTAGAAACTTGAGGAAAAGCTCATATTATTAGCTTATTTCTAAGTTAGGAGGATTTCTTGGGTGCCTGATTTTGCATTTGTCTGAAAATATTAAGGGGGTTATTTAATGTGTTTTCCCTGCAATAAAGCTAGAAAGTTGCAGCAAAAGGATATATATGTGCTGATCAGACTTAAATTTCAACAAAAAGATCAGAAACTGACAAAATCTATGATAGGGATTGTCATGGCATATTTCATATTGCCAACTGAAATGTTATTGACAGTTTAACAATTAGGAATTTTTGCACCAGTAAGACTTCAGAATTAGTATACTGTCTGACATTTTGCATACCTATGGCATCATGAAAAGTCTGGCTACACAACTGCAGGTTTCAAATTTTCTGAACAAATTTTTGTATTTTGATTAAGAATAATAGTGATGCAGTCTTGGAATACAGTCTTTTATAACAGACAAATCTATGACCAAAAATCAATGAGAAGTTGATGATTAAACTTAATGTTAATAAAATAAAAAGTGCAGCATGCATTATCATTTTCAGTTTGAAAATTTAAAATTGACCTTTATATATGTCTGTTATTTCAGCTGGAGTGTAGTGAAGAACTGGGAGATTTGGTGAAAAGTGCAGACCCCACCTTGGCATTATCTGTATACCTCAGAGCTAATGTACCAAACAAGGTATTGTCATAATTATATTCTATAAGAATGCTATATTTTAAATAACAGGCTCTGTGTTTAATACTATGTTTTAAATTATGTGCGGTGTGTTCAATACTATATTGTTAATAATGTGCGGTGTGTTCAATACTATATTTTAAATAATGTGCAGTGTGTTCATTTAATACAATGGTAGTGATCAAGCAAGTTTTAACCCGTATGAAATATTGTAAATATTTAATATATTACATTTCACAACACTATAAAATAAAAAAAATAATGTTATTTCTCAACACCCTTCCCTATTGAAAAAATTTTAATTACCGGTAAGTTTAATTGTAAAGTCACTGTAGTTGGCTTATATTAACAGGAAGTTAAAGATGACTCAGAAATTAAAAGTTCTATACAAATTCAATTTTGTATAGAAAATGACTCAAGAATTTGATTTAAGTTCCTTTCATGGTGTGATAATAACAGTTAATTATTGATAACATTGAGCTGTCTGTTCATGTTGATTTACATGTACTGAGTCTAGCAAAAAAATAATTTAAAAAGCTAGTCTATGGCCGACTTTATAAAATTCCTAGAACATGTTCACTGTAAATAGACATAAAATAAAAATTGGAAAATTCCTTTTGTCACATAATATGCCAGTGCCCAAAACAGAAAAAAATCACTAAAGAACAGGCCATTTTAAAGTATCCATTAGTTAATAAGGGGCATATGGATTTGCCCTTGACCATTTGTCACTTGGTTTGTCCATTTCTTTGTAGGCTGACAAAACAGTGAGAAAAGTCACGTTAAATGTTAAGAAATATGTATTTATTAATATATTACTTTGAAAATTAGTGACATCATATTTAAAGATTAAAAGTTACAATAAAATGATTTTATATTACATTTCATTATTTAAAGTTATTTTGTTTTTCAAGGTGATCCAATGTTTCGCGGAAACAGGACAGTTCCAGAAGATTGTACTGTATGCGAAGAAAGTTGGTCATACCCCAGATTACATATTCCTTCTACGTAACATAATGAGGATGAACCCCGAGCAGGGCCTCCAGTTTGCCCAGATGCTTGTACAAGATGATGAGCCACTTGCTGATCTTAACCAGGTATGTTGAGTTGAAAAAATATTCACATTAATTTTATCAATTTTAATTTGTAAAAATAAATGAATTGTTCATAGTTTGTATCATGTGCATTTTAATTTGTAGCCTACTAGTTGACATAGGTCATCTCAGTTTACAGGCTTAAGTAGAATTTTAGTAGAACAACAAATAAATGAATAAAATCATAAGCTTTTTGACTTGTCAATTTAAATTGAAGATTTAAGGAAAATAAAGAAAGACTGCATGTCGAGTTAACTGTGCAACAAAACATATGCCTGAAGATATTTGTCAATTCACAAAAATGAATCAAAATCAATATAAAGTTACAATTTTGTTTCCTTGAGAAAAACATTTCCTTGGTTACAACGATGATACTGTGGTCTGTAAAAATAATGCATGTGCATGTTTTAGGTTGGGAAATTTCACAAACATTGTAACACATCTATTTACATTGTCATTAACTGAGTGATAATTTTTGTTATATCTATGTTGAACAGGTAGTGGATGTGTTTATGGAGTTTAACTTGATCCAGCAATGCACATCATTCCTTCTTGATGCCCTGAAGAACAACAGACCATCTGAGGCCCCTCTTCAGACCAGGCTTCTAGAAATGAACCTTATGTCAGCCCCACAGGTAAATTATTCTAGAACCATCACTACAGCAAATGTTGTGTCATTTATTTCTGTACTTCTAAAATTGTTCAATTTTGAGACCCAATTATATATGGGAACTACTTGTTTTGCAAACTCTGTACTAATGAAAAGTAAGTTTTTTGCAACAGTAAAAGAATGAACTACAACTGTTGTAGTGAAAATAAACTTAGATGCACAGATTGCATGTTGAACATTAAATTCATGATTTGATGGCTCTTGTGTTTGCTAACATAACATCTGCTTTGGAGTACAAAACCGTATTGTTTTAAAAGTAGTTGGCTAAAATTTTGATCATATCAAGATAGAACTTTAATCATATTATCGGAAAGACACTGATGTATCATGTGTCTTAGATTTTCATAGATATGATACCATGTTAAATGATAATGAATAATAAAAAATAGATGTAATTTCATTATGCAGGTAGCCGATGCTATTCTAGGTAACCAGATGTTCACTCACTATGACAAGGCACACATCGCTCAGCTCTGTGAGAAAGCTGGTCTTCTACAGAGGGTATGTATAAAAAAACATCATTAAAGTGATCTTAATCATAAGCTGTTAAAATCTGTTTTTTATCAACAACTTCTGTGTCTTAACAATAAAGTGAGATATAATGGTAGTATTAGTATAACCCGAGAAATTTCAAAACATATTCCACGCATAATGCATTTTCATTTAATACAAAATGATAAAAATTATAGGTTTAATACATAAAGTTATCAAGAAAGAGTTACTTATTTTAATCATTATAATTCAAAGACCTAAACTGAAAAGCATTTGCAACCAGTATAAAGTCCAGCACCCTTGTACATCAACAAAATCTGACCAAACTTGATATTGTTCAGGTGTTCCGTTTTGATATCAAAAATCTTATTACTGCTTATTGACTATTGTTGACTCTAAGCAAAGCAAGACTAAGGTTAATAGTTCATGTTCACCATTTATATTCTATTTGTCCACCATTTTCAGGCCTTGGAGCACTACACAGACCTGTATGACATAAAGAGAGCAGTTGTACATACACATCTTCTTAACCCAGAGGTAAATATTGTAGATAATACATTCCTTTATTTAATAAAGCATTTCAGTTATTGATCAGATTCATGCTGCAATTTTTCTTTGATTGTAATTTTCATATGTAGCTTGTTTGATTTGAAATTTTGTCTTTATGAAATGCCTTTGACAGGAATTTACTTGACATAAGTTTTGAATAACTTTAACTCATTATGCTAGCCAAATGGTACAACTTAAAACTGCCTAGTTCTTATTAAGTGTATGAAGGCATTATTGCTAGATAAACTGACATATTTGAAGGTCTGCATTACTGTTTTAGAGATATTGATTATAAAATAAATAATACTTGGAAATGGATATTGAATGTGTCCAATAAAGTTCTACTTTGTAAGTGTAATGAATATTTTCCGGTATATAATTTCAGTGGCTAGTAAACTATTTTGGTTCACTGTCTGTAGAAGATTCTCTAGAATGTTTGAAGGCTATGTTATCAGCTAACATCCGTCAGAACCTGCAAGTGTGTGTACAGATAGCATCTAAATACCATGAACAACTCACCACTAACTCTCTCATTGAATTGTTTGAGTCATTCAAGAGCTTTGAAGGTTAGTATAGCTTATTGTGTAATTGTTGAATAGGTCTTGAACCTTTGCTGTGTTGCTTGATATTTAGGGTAATAGAAACATAAGAAATAATGATTTGATAAAGATATGCATCTCAAAATTGCTACATACATTGTATATGCCAGTGGTGGTAAAATGTATGAGAGTTCAGAACTTTTGAGAGAACTTCCATATTGTGATATAAAAGAGTATTATAAACATTTTGTTTCAAGTGATGTTCTTGTTTTGAATATTACATTGCTGGATGAATTTTAATTGTTGCTGATCCCTTTCAGCAATTTGTTTGATAGATGTGTATTTGAATTTGAAATACTTTGTGTAATGAAGGTATCCAACTTGATAATAGAAGATTATCAGTTCTGTTTAAGTTTATTATTATTTCAAAATTTAAGCATGTGTCTTTTATCTTCTTCTTTGAACAGAAAAGTTAGGAAGTCAAAATATGACATAAACATTGTATGACCTTAAATCATAAATGATTTTCTCAAAAAGTATCAGTTGATAAAGGTTTACTTGCTTACTTTCGATAAATAACTTTTGTGGTTAATGCATATTGTTTTGTTTTGTTTTCAGGTCTCTTCTATTTCCTTGGATCTATAGTTAACTTCAGTCAGGATTCAGATGTACATTTCAAGTATATTCAGGCTGCGTGTAAAACCGGGCAGATTAAAGAAGTGGAGAGAATTTGTCGTGAGAGCAATTGTTATGACCCAGAGAGAGTGAAAAACTTCCTTAAGGTTTGTCCAACAAATTTGAATTCTGTGCAAAAAAAAAAAATTGTCTGGCATAGGAATGTATTCAAGAGAGGATGATTTAGTTGTATTCTCATGTTTTGGTTGTAATTCCCTATTTATATGCAGGTCTTGTAATGTTATAAGCTGTTTGTCCGCAGTGTTCAGTAATTATTTTCATCATATTAGTTGGACATGAAGCATATTGAATTTTGTCTTTATATTTTAAGTATTGAGATAGTTTCTACCTTAACACTTGGCACATATTTTATGCTATGGTATCTATCTATCGTAAGTCACAAGCCATTTTGTTTACTGACAATTTTTGTTTTAGATGAATTATTTCAATAAAATATTAGTCAGTAATATACTTTCCATGAATGGTTTCTATTCACAATTGTTATGTTATTAACTGTGGTCATTTTGTTTACAGGAGGCTAAATTGACTGACCAACTGCCACTGATCATCGTGTGTGACAGATTTGACCTGGTGCATGACCTTGTTCTATACTTGTACAGAAATAGTCTACAAAAATACATTGAAATCTATGTACAAAAGGTATAACAATATTAATCAATTTGATACCCCTGTTATAGATCTGCGACTTTTAGTATTGCATTGTAGCAAATTTTATATGTGATTTAATAGATATATTTTATAATGATTAGATCAGTAATAAGTTTTGAAGTTTAAAGTATCTTCACATTGTGCATAATTAAACATATCAAGAAAATTTTTACGTTGTAAAAAAGTATCAAACTTAAAATCGTCATGAGATGTCGTACCAGTTTTGATGTTTTAAGTTCTTACTGTGTCTTAAATGTTAGATTGAAATAATATGATAAAAAGCCCTGATTAAAAATTTTGAACTTTGTGTTGTTTTTCAGGTGAATCCATCCCGTTTACCTATTGTTATTGGTGGTCTGTTGGATGTAGATTGCTCGGAAGATGTCATCAAGCAACTTATCTTGGTTGTGAAAGGTCAGTTCTCCACTGACGAACTTGTTGCCGAGGTGGAGAAGAGGAACAGACTCAAACTTCTACTGCCCTGGTTGGAGATGCGCTCACACGAGGGTGTCAATGAACCAGCCACTCACAATGCTCTAGCCAAAATCTACATTGACAGTAACAACAACCCAGAAAGATTCCTCAAGTAAGACCACTATTAAACTATTTTTGCAGTGAAGAGTGTTGTATATTTATCTAAATATTCTGTAGTTCTTAAATGGACATGTACAAATTCAATTTTTTTAAAATGTCTGTCATTAATTTTGGGGATGTCATGTTTAAAGTGGTCAGCCAACAGTATAGAGCCTGGTCAGACTGCAAGAGGTTTGTAGGCTGGCCTTACTCTATACTGGTGGCAATGGTTAATAACTTTAGCTATAAAAATGTTTCCTGTAGTTGCTTCAATTTCTAGACTGCAAAAATTTGAAGAAAACAATCCTGGTAGATCAGTTTTACTTAATTGGTTAACATTTCTCAAGTGAACAAAAGTCATTTCAAAATTTAAAGGGGATAAGTCTGCTTTACAAAATGAGAATCTTAGTGCCTAAATAATTCTTGCTATTATGTATTTTGTATTGTATATTTTCTATAATTTCTTTCAGAGAGAACCAATACTATGACAGTAAAGTTGTAGGTAAATATTGTGAGAAGAGAGACCCACATCTTGCTTGTGTAGCTTATGAACGTGGACAGTGTGACATGGAACTTATCAAGGTAAATCTTTCATACTTATAAATGAGCAGTTGGGCCTTGTTTAAGTCGGCTGATTTGAATGATTTGTCTTTATAAACTTTGGATATTCAGATCTTGCCAGGGACAAAAATATCTTACAAGTTAGAAACTAACCAACAATATGTTGGAGCATTTATTCTTTTTAGATGCCCACTTGCCCTTAAGACAATGATCTAAGGGGTAGTATTACGGCATCATTAAATCTATACAGTGAGTTTTTCTTGAAACCGAATCACTAGTAGGACTAATTTATAATTTGATGAACTGAATTTAAAATGAAATCTTGGAAATTTTAATTCTGTACTTCAGTGTCATGTAATCTCACCTTTCAGGTGTGCAATGAGAATTCATTGTTCAAGAGTGAAGCTAGATACCTCGTGAGAAGACGCGACCCAGATCTCTGGGCGGTCGTCCTACAGGAAGACAATGAGTACAGACGTCAGCTGATTGACCAGGTTGTGCAGACCGCTCTGTCCGAGACCCAGGACCCCGAGGACATCTCTGTGTCAGTGAAAGCTTTCATGACCGCTGACCTACCAAACGAGCTTATTGAACTTCTGGAGAAGATTGTCCTGGATAGCTCAGTCTTCAGTGAACACAGGTACAGAGGGGTTTTTGGTTATTAATGTATTGCCTCTGTGCAAGACTCTTGTTTCTGCCACCTCAGATTATGCGTTATAATTTTTGTATGTTTTGGATATTACTCTGACAGTACTATTGTGTTGAGGGAACTATATTATTACCTTTGTAGAAATTAATGAGACTATTACCATGCTGAAAAATGAAAAGCACGACCTCATTGGTGACCATTCTCATTTGTTTAATATTTCTAAATAAGTTTTTTTGTCAATTTACGATGTAAATCATTATAAATTGAAACACACACCAAACCTGTACACCAAATCCAAGTTGTTTATGTCTGTTATTACAGAAACTTGCAGAACTTGTTGATCCTGACAGCCATCAAGGCAGACAGAAGTCGTGTGATGGAGTATATTAACAGATTAGATAACTACGATGCACCAGACATAGCTAACATCGCCATCACTAATGAACTGTACGAGGAAGCATTTGCCATCTTCAAGAAGTTTGAAGTCAATACTTCAGCTATTCAGGTAAGTGACTAGTCCAAAATAAAGATCATAAAAAAAAAAACAATAGATAGACTGGGAAAAAAATGTGTATGAAAATATGTTTTCTTTGAACATTAATTTGGATGTAATTTAGCTTTGAACTAACTTTAAGCCAATCTTGGTTCTTTTTTTTTAAAAGAACTGTGTATTTTGTAATGTTCAAGTAAGACTTGGTTGTTTCAATACAAAAAATATCTTTTTATTGTTGAAGTATTTTGTCAGTTTCATTTAATATTTTTGTTTGACATATGTAAAGAAGTCATGAATCTTCTTTATCAGATACACTTTTAATAGTCTGTAGGTTTAAGTCACTTTTGTTGATTCTTTGTAACATAACTTATGATGCAAAGAGTCTTGCAATGACATTGATTAAAATGTGATTACTTGCAGGTACTTATTGAGCATGTGAACAATTTGGACAGAGCTTACGAGTTTGCAGAGAGATGTAACGACCCTGCAGTATGGAGCCAGCTTGGTCGCGCTCAGTTGAACGGAGGTCTTGTTAAGGAAGCTATTGACTCGTTCATCAAGGCTGATGACCCGACACAGTACATGGAGGTTGTCAATGTAGCAAGTAGTAGTGGTAAGTTTTTGATTATAAGTGGTTTCAAACAGATTGATAGAAAGAAAGTTAAGACTTATTGTAATTTAACCAGTGACAGTTGCATGTATGTATACATAGGCTTTTACACTGATTGTTAGAATATGTCTGCATTGTTGGTGAATAATTATATCTTGATTGCAGGTATAGTCTATTTATCCAAGTTCAGAAAGAAGTTTAACCTTAAAATGATTGGAAGATTGCAAAATCTTCCCAGATGAACAACATAATGTATTATAATATGTGAAAATACTGCATAACTGCATTCAAATACCTAAAGAGGTTGGTCTATAGATATACCTTACTACTGTTAAAAAGTGATTTGTCAACAGCTTTTCATTGATATACATGTATGCCAGATACCATGGGTATAAAAGTACTACAGAGTAACAGACATTAACTGTCTTGTTTGGGAACATTTAAATCATTGTATCATTATTTTTTTAGACAACTGGGAGGACCTTGTCAAGTATTTACAGATGGCCCGTAAGAAGGCCAGAGAGACATTCATTGAAACAGAATTGGTGTATGCTTTTGCCAAAACCAACCGACTTGCTGACCTGGAAGAATTTATTTCTGGACCAAACCATGCTAACATTACACAGGTAATAGCCATAATAAATAAGTTACTAAGTGAAGGGTTTTTGTCATCTACTTTTGTGGATTGTTCTTTAAACATTCTTTTAAAATGTTAAATGTACACAAATGTTTTATAGAGGTTCATCTTGTATATAAATTATTATTGTGTTATTGATGTAAATTTTTGTTGCAATTATCTGGAGCTACCCAGCAATATTGGCAGTCTGTCACCTTATGAAATACAGTGGAGCCTTTCTCCACCAGTAAAGTTTAGTCACAGCCTTGACAGTATACTGTGCCATTGAGCCCCCTTTAAGGAATGATTTTAAATCTGTTTTTTTTTGTTTCTGTTTTAAAGGTGGCTGACCGTTGTTTTGATGACAAGATGTACGAGGCTGCTAAACTACTGTACAACAATGTATCTAATTACGCTCGTCTCGCTATAACTCTAGTCCACTTGGGAGAATACCAGGGAGCCGTAGATGGTGCTCGTAAAGCCAACAGCACAAGAACATGGAAAGAGGTAAGAAAAAAAAAAACCTGATATTTGCCGTTTCTAGGTGATGTAATCTGTAATAATCACTTATTCTGTGTTATTGCTTAGTTATGGAATGATTTTCTGCATTTTAGAAAATTTGTGAATGAAATTTTACATTTTGTGAATCAAATTTCACATTTTTGTGAATCAAAGTTCACATGTTAGTGTAATGAAATATGCCTTCAATTATATGGGTTTGTTTTAAGGAATTAGTTTTAAGGAATTAAATTTCACCTATTAGCTCCATACTCGGAACATTCCTTGAACATAATTATTTCCAATTTTGTTCTATATACCTTGAGTTTGATTAGGAAATGAACAACGCCTCAGTGATTACATGTGTTATTTGTGTTTTACAGGTGTGTTTTGCGTGTGTGAACAATGAGGAATTCCGTCTAGCACAGATGTGTGGTCTACATATAGTGGTTCACGCTGATGAGCTCGAGGAACTGATCAATTACTACCAGGATAGGGGTTACTTTGAGGAACTCATTTTATTACTAGAGGCAGCATTAGGTTCGATATTTAGTCATGTATCTTGTATAGAAATTAAATTGTATTATATAGAGATTCATGATTGACCAGGGTTAACATTATTAACATATTGACAATTCATATCATGGTGTTAAAATGGGTTGTATTTTCAGCTCTATATTAAAATATCATCCATGACCCTTTGGCAAATTGGTTGTTTTCTTTGGCTCATCTGTTGCCTCAGATAAAAAAGAAAACACTGCTACTGGCAGGTTATAAGGTATAGACAGTAGTTGTTTTATTCATTATTACCGAACATTTGCAAGTTTAGCATTGTTATATTGTGGAGTATTAAATTGTATGTATTATGTTTTCAAATTTAGCCATGAACAAAAAAATCTGTTTTATGAACTAATTAATTTATATTTTGTTTCCTACACATTTTACAGGATTAGAAAGAGCACATATGGGCATGTTTACAGAATTAGCCATTTTATACTCCAAATTTAAACCAGGAAAGATGAGAGAACATTTAGAACTATTCTGGTCGAGAGTAAACATTCCAAAGGTAAAAAAAAATCGGCATATATTTCATTTATATAGTTTTACTGCTGAAATGACAAAATTGAAATGAAAATCTAAGCTAATGTTTAAGACAGAAGTGAGAATAATGAAATGGTCCCTTTAGTTGAATAACTATAACACTTCAGTGGGTATACTAAACAAGATTAAATCGGCATACATTTCATAAATATAGTTTTACTGCTGAAATGACAAAATTGAAATGAAAATCTAAGCTAATGTTTAAGACAGAAGTGAGAATAATGAAATGGTCCCTTGTGTTAAATAACTATAACTCTTTAACTATGAATAACTATAACTCTTAAGTGGATGAAGTAAACAAGATGAATTTAAGAATGGCTGTTGTAATTATATGTACTTTTGAAAAACTTTATTTTGCTTAGATTGTAAATAAGGTTCCTTATTGTTTTCAAAATGGGTCATGTATTTGCATTATTCATTTTTTATGACAACAAACATAATAACAGTATTTTTTAATGGTACGAGAACCAATTAAAATTTACTTTGTGAATGATCGTAGTTCTGCGATGTTGAAGTCTAATTGAAAAAAAAATTTAAATAGTGACTGAAATAAGATTCTTCTGCAATGTCAGTTTAAAAGAAAAGATTCAATTTCTAGTAGTAGCATATAAATTTATGTTTGTATTTACTAAAGGTCCTTAGAGCTGCTGAACAGGCACATTTGTGGCCAGAACTCGTTTTCTTGTACGACAAGTACGAGGAATATGACAATGCCATTCTGACCATGATGAATCATCCGACAGAAGCCTGGCGCGAGAGTCAGTTCAAGGATATCATTACAAAGGTGGCGAATATTGAGTTGTACTACAAGGCCATTCAGTTCTACCTGGATTTCAAACCACTTCTTCTGAACGACCTCCTGATGGTCCTCACCCCTCGTCTAGATCATACTCGTTCTGTTACCTTCTTTGATCGCGTCAACCAGATTCCTCTAGTTAAACCATACTTACGGGCTGTGCAAAAGAACAACAACAAGGCCATTAATGAGGCCCTGAACAATCTATTCATTTTAGAAGAAGATTATCAAGGTCTACGCGCGTCCATCGACGCGTACGATAATTTTGATAATATAACGTTGGCCCAGAGGCTGGAGAGGCACGAGTTAATAGAGTTCCGTAGAATAGCAGCTTATCTTTACAAAGGCAACAATAGATGGAAACAATCAGTGGACCTATGCAAAAAGGATAAACTCTTTAAGGTAAACAACATCAAAAGATATCATAATAGAAATGACACTTATCAATTAAAAGTGAATATATAGGTTGCCTTTGTGTTATATTAACTTTAAAAGACTTTTGGAAAATATGCGATATAGGGTAGGGGATCATACATAACATATTCAGTGTGTACTTTTAAACAAAGAAAAATGTAACAAAAGAAAAGTAATTTGAATAATACTAATAAATAAAATCATTGATGCACGATTCGCTTAGGTTTAAATTTTAACATAATCACGGGGGAAAAACTGTAATGATGAAAACAAAATTAATTAAGCAAAGAAGACTAAAATCTCTCAATTGATATTGGACGTTTTATTTTTTCTACAGGATGCAATGTTATATGCTGGAGAGTCTAGAAATATAGATATAGCGGAGGATTTGATAGCCTGGTTTTTAGAGAACAAATACCACGAGTGTTTTGCTGCGTGTCTATTCCAATGTTACGACCTGCTCCGACCAGACGTCATCTTAGAGCTGTCCTGGAGACACAATATCATGGACTTTGCCATGCCCTACATGATACAAGTTATAAGAGAATATATTAGCAAGGTAAGGCTTCATTTTGGACGCTCTTTAGCCTGTATACTGACCCTGGCTTCCAATTACCTACCGTTGCCGCTCACAGCCATGGGATTTGAAATCCCACTAGCAACTTCTGAATTTTTAATTTGAGGAAGCTATTTTTCCAGTGTATGGAAGATCAGTGGTTTAACTTGGTTATCCACTTTTGTTAAAGATAATACATGGAGTGCTTCCACCAACAAACCAAAGGCAAACAAAGGCATGTGATAAAAATTGAAGAGAAAAAAAAAATCCAACTTTACTAAATATTCAAGGGGAACTATGTTTCTACGAAAAATAGATATTCTATAAACAATCTTGTTCCACATTCTGGAAAAGCTTATAAATGGAAATAAAGTTTTTTGAAACATGCATTTTGCGAAGATAATCTTAATTTAAAACTGAAGTGAAAAAAAACCAACCCAATTTTACTAGATAATAAAGGGGAAACAAAGGTTGTAAGGAAACTTGATAATCTGACAAAACAATCATTTTCTACTTTCTTGCAAGCTATCTTACTTACAAATGTAAAAAAAGTTTTTGAAATATGTATTTTGACAAAATAATCATAATTTTTTTCTGTGCAGGTTGACAAACTAGAACAGTCAGAGAATGTCAGGACAGAAGAAGAGGAAAAAGCAGTGGAACAACCTATTGTATTTGGTATGTTGCTATCTTGATATGAGCCGCGTCATGACAAAAGCAACATAACGGGTTTGCGACCAGCATGAAACAGGATCCAGTTTCTCTACTTGTAATAGATTCTGTAAGCAAACAGCATGGATCCTGATCAGACTGCGCGAATGGTTATTCTGTTGGTTTTGTCGTGACGCGGCTCATATGTGTTTCACAGTTTACATTATAGAAGCTCTACGGGAGTCCAAAATGCTATTAACAAAAAGATCGCTACGTAGGTCACTTTAAACCAGAAAATATGCATAACATAATATAGAACATTACTTTGAATACATATTATGATTGTATTTTAAAAACCAGAAAATACGCATTTTATAAAAAAGAAAAAAACTTAGTATGTGTTACAATGGTATTTCTTGTTCTTCAGGTATCTTTTATTACGTAAATATTGAAAGTTCTTGAGATGTGTTAATTGTCCCTGATTGAAAATAAAATTTGTTTTACTTTATTGCATATAGTTAATATGGAATAAAGGAAAATGGTTGAATTGACAGTTCATTGTTTCAATTTCTTTTCAATAGCGGAGCCACAGTTGATGTTAACTGCTGGACCACAAATGATGGCTGCCCCACCGCAGGGAGTGTATGGTCAGCAACCAGGATATGGAATGCCACCTGGTGGAATGCCAGCTGGTGGCATGCCACAACAACCTTACGGATATAACATGTAACTCCCTAGGAAATACAGAACATTTCAGTAGATTATCATTTAAAAACATATTTAACTCTGTTCTAGAATAGGATGGAGAATTACATTTTTAAGTCTTTTCATGATCATATTTACTAGGTAAAAAATTTGTTTGACTTTGGAAATGATGCTTTGGCGAGCTTTCGGAGAAATGCGTAACAGAGATTGCAATAGAGATAGGGACTAAACTATACCGTAATGCTGTTGAAAGATTGATCTATGACGGGACCCAGTTTTGATGTGTGCATATTTATTGTTATATTTTGAAAATGTTGCAGTACTATAATGAGAAGTGTGTTTATAAATATTGTTGTCAGTTGAAACAAAAAAGTGTGAATGCTGAGGAGAATATGTTACTTATGAAATGCTTTAATGTTGTTTGTTAAGTGTAAGTTGGTGTATAGCATACAGAATATACACAACTTTGATTATCTAGTGTGTAAATCGATTTATAATTCGGAAATTGTTATGTGCAAAAATTCAAGCTCTCCTTTTGTATTATAGCTTTTATCAGGCATTTGAATTATATTTACTAATCTTATTGCACTTTAAATTGTATTCTGCATAACCAAAAAAGTACATGTAGCTTATGAGAAAATAAGTTTGCAGATCTCTATTTTTTATGTGTGTTTATATACAGAATTTTAGAGAATTTCTTGCAGGCTTTTCAAAGGTATGAAATCCTTTGTTGAAATTATGATAGTTAAAACAGAAATTTAGTGGATGATCAAAGTTAGTTATTGTGTAACCACTGAGAAAATAATCATGGCCCAAAAATAGCCTGAAATTTAAATTTATGTTATACATTATTGTTTGTAATTTTGTTATTTTAAAGATAGTTTTATTTATTCATACTCATTATAGAAAGTTCTGTTTATTTATAAATTGACCCCCCATATTAGTCTTAAAAGTATAAAATTCTTGTTAGTTGAATTAGTATTTCCCATCAGTTTATGTTTAGAAATTGTTTTTAAGATTATTTCATGAATTTCTTTTATTTGCATGCATTAAAGAAGTGTATGTACACAAAATTTCTTAAGTAATATAGGAAAGTGCTAAATAGTTTCATTCATTGATTTTAAAGTTGAATTTTGCAGTGTAATATTGCTGGAGTAATTGTGCAGCAGAAATTTAGTGATTTATTTTTACGTTGTTTTTTTTGTTTGTTACAAATAGGTTTTTCCTTGGCTACTGTTAGAAAATTTATATGGATATTAGATGTTAATATAAAGAATACTGTTGTATGACACCTGCGTAAGTTTTACTGATAGAGCACATATTTTAGACAGGTATTTGATGTTGTTATGAATTTGCTTCTTTACAGGACAATATGATGTCTATTTATAGATTATAGGTATCTATTTATAGAAATAAAATCTATTTATAGAATATAGATATCTATATATAGATCACTGATGTGGAATTATAGATAAGGTGTTAGGAATTTAGGACATTTGATGACCATGGTAAAATATTCAATACCTTCCTGGCAAAGCTTTTGGAGTGAAACAATTGTTGTTTTTGGATAATATATATATATATGTTATACATTCATATTGAATATTGTGCAAATAATGGTGTATATACTCCTTAGACAAAGAAATTCAATATAATCTACATGGTTAACTTTTTCCCTTTTTCCCCATAAAATCATTTATTTGAAATTCATATACTGTTTCAGCGAATCAAAAGCTGTGTTTGTATGTAAACGATACAAGTGAGTTCGTAATAGATTAGAATCCAATCAGATACATTGTAAGATGTGATTAAATTGTGTCGTGATTTCTGATTGGCCGTAAATTTTAATGTGTATCAGTATGAAAAAAGAGTATAGCTGTAAACATGTATTTCCAATACACAAATAGTAATAAACATGAATAATTGTAAACCTGTGTTGTTTTCTGTTTTGAAAGTGAAACTTGAGAAAATTATTCTCAATGTTCCTTATTTGGTCATGTGAATACTAAAAAGGTGAGCTTATCCATGGCCAGTCCGCAATTTCTTTTGAGTGATTTCCTTGCAATTAACTAGATGTCTGGTTTTGGAAGGGGTTTTCAATTTACCAAAATTACTTGGAAACCATCCTTTGTCTTTCAAATTAATGTTATTCCCCATTTTGAAACATGCAAGATAACTATTCTACTTGTTTTATCCTAATCAATTAGTGCCGACAAAGATAAGCTGGCATATCTGTGATTAAGAAATACCCTAAAAGTGGTTAAAAGATGGACAAGTCCAGTTGCAAGGTAAAATATCAATGTTGAAATTGTGTAAAGTTTATATTTACTTTCAAATCCTAGTACATGTACTTGATTTTATGAAACTGGCATGTATTTTACATTGCAAATATGTGATACTTTAATGTCACAGTCAAATTTAAAAACTTTTAGACAAGATGGAAACATATTGTTATAAATAGGATTTGGTAATGATTGTACCAGTACAAACAGAAGAAACCAAATAATGAATCCAGAACTATAAAAACTGTTCTTTGGAACCTCCGCAAACAAAGTTTAGAGGGGGTATATAGAATTGAAGTTGTAGCTTGGTCCACTTCATAATTTTCAGATGATAACTGTAGACAGAGGCAATGAATAATGGATAATTTGTAGTACACAGATCATTAAAATACAGGTAAAGTTCTAGTCTGGATTCAGACCACTAATTTTTCACAGATTTATGGTCACTTTTTCTCCTATTTTAAATTAAATAAAATAAAACATGAAAACTCCTAAAAAGTAATGGATTGAAAGCAATTTTGGTACACAGGTAAAACATCATGAAGTACAGCTGGAGTTGGAATTAGTCTTCAAACACTAAATTATCACTTATTGATGAGCCATTCTACAACATAAAAATACAGTTTCCGTAGTATAACTGAAAGATTTGATACATTAACAAAATGTTTATACTCCGGTATAACATAAAATACATATAAGTATGAATTGGGCTTCAGGCATACTTATGGTCCCTAACAAATTTCAATTTTTCAGAACAGACAGTTTCTTGTTGATAAAACTTCAGATATTAAGTTGTGACTAGAATTAGATTAAGTATTAAATAAGAAAATATTTCAGTACAGAAATAAATTGAAGATATTAACCAACTTCAGTGATAGCTCTAAATGAAAAGAAGTGGTCATAATAGGTAGGAATTCCTAACAGTACCTTTTAATAGTACTTTATTTAGTATGAGGTGTTAGGTGGGGTTATGAGTCACATTTAGTGAAACATATAGATCTAGTCAACTGGACAGTCTGGAAAATGGTTCTCCCTTTAAATCAAGTCAATATTGGCATCAAATTTCAAATTCATAATGAATCATAATAGTCACAGAATATATGCCTTTAATGGAATTTAATGCCATAGTGAAATCCACTTGTTATTTTTAACAAATTTGTAAAATTCCTTGCAACATGTTGGCCTGGGATAGTGAATATTGGTCCAACATTGGCTAGGACAAATTGTTGAATGTCCTAGGTTAGCCTTTAGGAATAATTTGAAACAAATATGAACAGACAATATGACTATTTGTTAAAGTTTTATGAATTGAGGAATTGCTTTAGTACTGTAGAACCTATATACATTACAGTGGCGTAGATTAAAATAGTGGTTTAATGCCTGAGTAAAGATTACAGAGTTACGTCCCTTAATGAAATTGACCTCAATTATCTCATCGATCTTGTGATCTGTCAAGTTCCTAAAATTCTCCGACTTTTGAGCTTTAAAAGAGTGGTTATATTAATGTTTGGTAGGTAATTATTTAGATTATAGGTTGCTTTTGAATTTGACCATTTCTTTCAGTCCGCTTAGAGGTATAAATTCATTAAAATTGTCCATTTTAGTACCAGAAATGTAACTATTTTCGGATACGTCAAAATAATTATTCATTTGTTTACGTTTAAAAGCTTTATGAAAAGATAAATGTGATATAATCTAGATTTTTGTGACACAAGGTTCCTCATATGAAAGAACAGTTTTACTTTTCATAATAGTGTAGCTATTTGGTTTTAGATATAGTTAAATTCATGCACTCAAAGACTTGGCTGTATCCCAAGAGAAGTCGGGTAACTCAGGTTTAAACTTTAGTGCACATTAACCAAATCATTTGATAACTGCAGTGGGATCTATTCTGATGCGTTTGGTTTAAACATATTTATTTTAAGCTTGATTGCTAAACAATTCTTGCAACTTAAATTAGGGCCTAACCACTTTCGAGTCCGCTTCCTGGAACCAACCAGTATTGGTCACTTTTTGGTGTCATATGAAGAACCATGGTCGTGACCCGAGTAGTGCTCGAAGCCATGATCTCTGGCTTCAGAGGCAGATACCTTAACCACTAGGCCACGGCACAGTGCCCTGATGCATTTGTATGTTTTTGTTACAACGAAAAATGTTTGGGTCCTTTCATAGTCCTATAACAGCGACGTTTCTGTTTGTACTATGTACACTCCAACGTCTTATCTATTCCTTCATAAGTTCCTTTAGTGAAACTCACAGCGACTTTTAAGTGCTACATACTAAATATATATATATTGTTTTTTAACTTTTTGTGTGAAAAATGACGAAAATTGAATTAATAACATATATTAAATATTAAAGACATATTTCTAAAGAAAAATGTTGCAGTGTACATGGTTTTGGAGAGGCAGGACGGTTGTAGATTGGGTAAGGGGAGATAGTGACCAATCAGCACGCCAACACCTGTGGTTTGTCCTAGAAATTTTAGTCCTAAGCCAACCCCCTCCCCAAAGATAAACAACAGAAGTCTTTTGAGTTAAGACATCAGAATATATTATGGAATGAAAACCTAAACTTTCCCCTATAATAGAAATTTCATATTTTCAAATTTCTATAGAAGTCTTTATCAAGAAATGGAATAACATTATTTTTCAGGTGATCATTATTAAAAGAAAAGAAATCTTTAAAAGTGGTGACCATGACAACAAAGAAACCAACTAAGCTTCATATAGGACAATCCGAATTACTGTGTAAGAATGGGTGTGGCTTCTACGGAAACCAGCATTGGCAGGGCTACTGTTCTATTTGCTACAGACAAGAGTGTCAGAAAGAGAAGAAAGCTCAGCAGCAGCAAGAATCCTTGAAACAGAAAGTGTAAAATGATTGTTATTTTTAATAAATTAATTTATGTTAACACATAAACAACAGCATAGGAGTATAATAAATCCATTTAATAAAAATGATATAACACAGTCATGTGCAATTACAAAGGGAAGTGACATCATTTGCATTAAATATACAATCAAAGCATAAAGTGCATGAATGATAGGTGCAAATTGCTAATAGGCTTGCTTAAGGTATTAGCATCCTAATTTTTTAATTTATATGGGTATTTATTGGCTAAATTATGCTAAATGTAGTAATAAATATGGTACCTGATATTTTCAAAGTGTAATATAATAAAAAATAGACGGTAAAAGTATTTCATATTTCATAAGATCAACCAATATACTTTTTTAAAATTTTAGGGAAACTTTGAAAACAGGCACTCATTTGGGTAAATTTTAAGAATTTTTTAAATTAGGCCCCTAAGTAGAAAAATGGTCAGACACGTGGTAAAAACGGGTGGGGTAGGGTAACATTTTTATACAGATTTCATAAATTTTAAGTAGAAACCATAATTTTGCTTATGTGGATTGTTAGCTGAATGGTACTAGTGTAACTATTTGTTTCGTACCAAAAATTAATGGGAAAACATTTTTCATTAGAAAGTTATTGCAGATTATTTAAAGGTTCCTCATTTCTTAAAAAGGGCCCTCATAACATCCTAGCTTGAGTTCAGAAAAGTGGCCATAACTTGATATCCGTATGGTAAACTTTGTTTAGATTTTGCATACAGGTGTACTTTAAGGTATACATCTGACCTATGATGTCAATTTTTTAGTTCCTTATAGTGCCCATTAGGGTCCTAATACCTTAAGGAAATTGACTAGTTCCTTAATGTAAATCACTTTGTTTTTGGTATGTGATATTAATAGAATGTATATAATGTAATGTACTAAGTGTTTTTCAGTATGCTCTGTATATTACTTTTTCGATTCTCTCATTGCTTTAATGATTCCCATGTTTATGAAATAGTATACTGTTACAGATTGCCAAATGTAATAGAATTCTGCAGTGGTTAGATTAAAGTAATTTATCTTGAACGGGGTTCCCATTGGTTTAAAGATAAACGTCTCAACACTGTAGGTTCGAATCCTGTCAGGGGCTTTGGATTCTTTCATGTGAGGAGGCTATCAAGCTAGCTTACAAAACGTTATTGGTTCTACTCGTGCCTGAAATAATGCACTGAAGGCCACCTCAGGTCTTCCTCCACCAGTAAAGCTGGAATGTCTCCATATGACCTATACTGTGCCGGTGTTACATAAAACCCAAACAAACAAAAACTGAGCTATCAATGGTTCTGACATTGATAAGAAATGATTGAAAATTTGTTGCTTAATCTTTGCTTATTATATAATAGGTCACCAGATGGCACGGACAGAGCACCACTGTTTTCAAAATTTGCTGAAAAGAAGACTCAACATATCCACAAAAGAGCCAATACTCTCAAATCAGTTTTCAGAAAGACACCAACTAAAGGTATAGCATTTAATTTATCATGTAAATTTTGTACTACCTGTCCAAATTTGGTTGCAGATTCATATGATGTTACTTTTTCTCATTGTAAGAAGACTGGTCAGAAGCTTTTGCTTGGAACTTGAATTTTATACTTAAGGTTTTATTGTTACAATAAATTTTTTTCATCCCAGGACTCAGTTGGAAAAGAAAGATTTCTTGAGGAGAATTTTAGGCTAAAATTAAGGTTACATGTTTTTTTTTTATGAAATTTGGAAAATTGTCTTTTTGTATGGGAGATAGAAATTGTCTTTTTTTTTGCATCTTAGATAGATAGAGAAAAAAAACCTCTTAAAATGTACTGATTCTGTTTCATATTCATTATTCAAACCATAACCTGCCAACTTTTGTGTCCAGCTTCAATTTTTGGAATTGTTCATTAGCGATTTAGAGATATCAAGGTGAAAAATTTGATGTTGATCAGCCAACAGTATGCCTTGGTCTATACTGTCTGGGAAAGGTTTATCATGTGTGGTTGCAGTAGGTTGAGAGTTAATTTGGATTAATCATCAGGGATTTTTTCTCAATTTTCAAAGCAATGTGTTGCTTTCTGAAGGGGAAAATATGATGAATCAGAAAAGGGAGTAAATTTAATATCAAATTCCAACCACTAAAACAGTTAATAAAATTTTCATTGTCAATTTCTTTACAATTTTACATGCATGGTACATAGCAGAGGCTATCTATTGGGACAGCTTTCTGTCTTTCAGTCAGTTAGATTTATCAGCATTTCAGGGGAAAATATATATATTTTGGGCTTGGGGAAATCGCCTTTATTCAGTTCTAAATATAGAGAAAAAATCACTGATTATTGTTATTGAAAATGAAAAGATTATGTTATAAAAGGATATTTAATATTGGATAAAGAAAGAGATAACACTGTATCCTGACCTGATGAATTTTAGTGTTCTATAAAATGTAATAGTATTGTACATATATTTATTATCATGTATATAACAGTTGAAAGTTTAATTTAAGTATTGATAATTTCTTATTCAAAATACCAGGAAGTTAATACGGAGTTTAATTTCCTGTTTTTAAAATGATGAGGCCAATAAAAAAACTCTTAAAGTCCAGTGTCATCTTCATTTGACCAAAAAATATAACAACTTCTTATACTCTTATTGTAACTTTTTTTTCTTCTTTGTATTAGAGAAAAGTTTAGGTGTTTTTTTCCTTTTTAAGTGTGTATTGTTGTTTTTTTATTAGAACTGGTTTCTATTTTTTTGTTTTCATTTAGCCTTTAATTGTTTATTTGATGATTTTGTGTAATGCATTTATCCATCTTTGAATTTGGAAGAGTCCATTCAAAATTTTAGGGATTTCAATATCAGAATATAAGAATTTAGCTACAAACTGATCTGACAGCCTGGATCTACAAGCTGACAGTGCTCTATATTGGTGGCAAAGGCTGATCACATTCGATCAACTAGCTGGTTGAGGGTTAAGTTCTTTTTTTTGTATCCAGAAACAGTTACATTTTTTTATATATATATTTGGCCTAACAATTTCCGCTATTGTTAAATTTTTATCATAAAAACAGGATACTGCCAATTTTAAGTGAAATTTTAAACAGACTAAGATTGCTACTTGTAGATATATTGTTTATGCATAATGTTAAACTAAACAATTGTAAAATGAAGTACATTAAAGTAGTATTTTACCTAAAATTTAATGCAGCATCTTAAGTTTCACAGTTGAAGTTATTATTATCAAGAAAATATTTGGTATTGGAGAAAGAAAATAAAACAATCTAAGCAAACAGAAGGCTGGAGTATTCCACAAAAACTATCAAATTACATAATATGTGTATAGCCAATGCTCAGTTAAGCCTTTACCATGCTAAATATCTAAAATGGACTTGTCCATCAAGACCATTCATCATTTTTAGGGAAGTTTTCAAATATGAATTGAGTGAACAGTGCAAACCATGATCAGACATGGGCATTACATTAACACATTGCGCAATTCTTATAATTACTGTCTTTGTCTACCATCATAAACTTAAAGTATAGAATTACTGCACATTGATTAATTGCTATGTTAGACAGTTCAAAATAAAATTCAGCTTCAATGTCATAACATTAACACATTCTGAATTTGCTATAATTACTGTCTATGTGAATTTTTTTATCTATTTTCATTAACTCAAAGTATAGAATTACCTCACATTGATAAATTACTAGCTCAGGTGGTTCAAAGTAGAATAAAATTCGCCTTCATTGTAATAACAATAACACAATGTGCATTTCTTATAATTACTTTCAACGTGTATATCTTTGTTTATGTTAGTTAAGTTATTACTGGACATTGATTACTATCTGAGTAGACAGTTCAATTACTTTAATTATTTGGGGGGAAAATATAAATCTCAAATGATGCAATTAACTAAAATGTGTGTTATACAATGACCAATTAAGATTGTTATAATTATGTCAAATACTGATAAATGTAAAATGATAAAGAAATGAAGTAATGTACAAATTTTGGAGGCCTAGGGGCATGAGGATGAACAATATGTGATGTAACATTGACAATGTAACTGACTAGCTGACATAAGCTGTTACATTGTCACTAATTGTGTAACTGTGATTTGTCTGTCAGTTTCACAATACTTTTGTGTAGATATGTTTTGGTTGCAGTTATTATGCAATAACAAAATTCTCAGGTCCACTAATTGGCTGTCAGTTCTTTAGCATTTCCTGCATAATTATATCCTGTCAAATCCTCTTTTGAGAAAAGTCACACTCTGAAGTAAATTTTACATGTGTTTGTATAATGGAAAGAAAACAATATATTATATATAAAAATTATCTGTAGGTTATTAATAATTCAGACTTGATAATTGATAACTGAATTTGTGATTGAATTTATGATTATGATAGACTTTATGATAATTATGTCAATACCCAAATACTAAAAATTAAAATAGTGCAAAGTTGTTACTGAATTCTTAGAATGTTTTCATTTTCAATTCTTGCATCAGTTGCATCTAAAACAGTTTAGACTTTTTTCTTTCATAAAGAATTTATTTCAATATGTAATCAACTTTTTTTCATTTTGTAACAAACCATATACAACAAATTAAATATATTATGTGCTTCTTAATTAATCTGTACTGTTTAGATATTTTAATCTAGATTATAGTGGATTTGACTTTAATATCAATAAAATTGCTAATCATTTTTGTCAACTTAATTTGTAACTATTTACCTAAGGGATTTATCAAATTTGATCTACCATAATACACCTGTAATACATTTTCCTCATTGTTACCTATCAGATTAGTTTCTGTAAAGGTCAGTAATCCACAAAGAATTGACAGTGTTGATTGTTTGCACAAGGTGCAAGGTGATGCAATGTGCCTTAAAAATGATGCAATGGGTCCAAAAAGATGATGCAATTTATGTAACTGACCACTGGCTAAAATTTGTAATTGAATTTATATAAATAACCATGCAAGTATGTAATGTTTTAATATCTGGTTGGATCTTATTGCTGCAGTCAAACATTTTGCACAAACAAAAATTAAATTTATTATCAAAAATGAATAATACAATATACACTTCTGGAAAAAAAAATCAGATCCGACAGCATAAGGCCTTTTCCCAACATAGGATTTATTTCTGTAAATTAGACAGGTTTTTGAAAATGTTTGAAATATTGAATAAGTAGAAAAGAATTTCTCTTTAACAATTGATCTCAGACATTGACTTCAATTAGTCTCTCACCAATAATTCAGAAATTATGTTGGATTAGTAGTTGGTTATTTGTTGAGAAATTGGTATTTACTGGTTAAAGCCAGTTAGGACTGCTTACAATGTATTGCAATTGGCGTAGAAACCAAATAAACAAATACAATATATAAACAAAACATTTTCTGCTTTGATACGTTGTTTCTCCAAATTTTGGTTGGTTTTTAAAGTCAATTTGGTGGGCTGCCCACCAGGGTATGGGATAAAAATTGGCATAAAAATGATGAAATAAACAAATACAGTATGAAACACTAATACTTTGAATGTCAAAATTAAGAAACTTGGTTAATTAGAAATGCAGATGCTGTTATTTATGATGTAATAAATTTGGATTAAACAGTCGCATATTATGATACAATGAAAGAACTGATGAGTCATGCTAAAGAAATTCCTACTAATTTCTCCCTTATCATTATAGCTATAAATAATGTTTATTTACTTTATATGGCATCAGACAATGTAATATTATTGATGGATATGTAGAATTAATGATTCTGTTTGTAAACAAAGTGGCCGAGACAAAGTTAACTTCTGGCAGAAACAGCAGCTGTTCACGCAGCTGACATATGTCGGTCCTTTTATATATCATTAACGGTTACTGCGTCGGACATTTCACACCATTGTTCGTTCCGTTAGATACAATACTATATTAGTCATATTGGATGCTAATATACATATTTACAAATAAGCACAGCAATTTCTCTTTTGTGTGAAAATAAATGATAAATCTGAACCCGTATATAAGTCGGTAACTACGTTTCCTTTTTTACAGTGTTTACAAATTACGTAGATATTTTATTTGACTGGTTTAATACGGTCAATGTGTCTTTAGAAAGGTTACGTGTTTTAGAATAAGAGCACTATGTCAAGTAATATACGATTGAAAGGTTTTTGTGTCCTTTACCAATTATAGCCAATTTTCATTGAGTTATGTACATGTATATAATTCTATCCCCACATATTATAAAAGAATCTCAACTGATTTATATAACACTATAAAGAATAAATATAACAAAATATTTACTTTAGTATGATTTATAGAAGCATAATTTGATAATGTTAAAATGTAATATTGTATTATTTTGATGGGGTGAAAAAACACATATCAAAGTGAGAATATATTTGTTAATATTCGTATCATCATGGTTGATAGATATACGCACATTTGTAGGAAATTAAAAATTTCTGTTTAAATAAATATAAGTTGACTTAAGTGTCATTTATAGAAAAAGCTGTCAAAAATCTTTACATCCTAATAAGGGAAAAGCAGAAGGAAATATTGGATTTTTTTTATAAACAAGGGTGGCCACAGCCATGTAAAAACTGTCAAAAAATGACAGTTTCCAATGTTTGTTACACTTTGCAAGTTTTGAGGAAATGATGCAATATCAGTTGACAAAATAGTGGACAAAGAAACAGACTGGACATTACATAACTATCCAGATATATCAGGCTGACCAGCTTTTTTCCTAATTTGCATAATTTATCTTGCAAGTGGTGGACTATATAGCTTAGTTATTTATTTATATAACTGATTTATAAACTATTGTCTACATCATTAAAAATTCTTTTGCACCATATGGTTTTTGATGTTTATCAGAGGGGATTTACGCATATTTAAGTGAGAAAATTATATGTTAATTAACAGGATTTGTGCATATTAATAGACTGTAATTATATGGTTCATTTGAATGCAGCAACCATTTAGTACTGTAAAGTAAAAGTTGACTAAGTGTATTTATAAAATTAAGTAGGACACCAATGTTATTGTAAACATTAGATTGCGCAATAGTGACAGCTGATGTCCAGTGTGGTAACAGATAATGTCCATTTTACAAGTGACCAGTGCTGTATAATGGTGTCTTATTCGCAACATAGGTGATCAGGCATTTGTAACTAGGGGTGCAGACAAATACGTGCAGTTGATTAGTTTTATTACAGTTAAGTAAAATACCATGAGCAGCTTAAAATCGAACATCGGAAATAATTCCATTAGTGTGATGTAACAGTGTTTGTAATTCTCATAAGTGGATTTATTGTGTTTTTATTGACGTTTTACAAAATTTGTTTGCAAAAATCTAGGATTGGTGAATTACTAGTTAGTCTTTAGCTAGTTTTAAATTTGGTGTGGAACTGGTCCTTTCCGTTTTCTGTCTTCAAATAATTTAAATTGTGGTTTTGATTCTAAAAAGTGAAAATAGAAACAAAATATCATTATGGCTTCAGCTGGAAAGTCAAGAAGTACTGATTTGTAATTCATCGTAACAATTATGAAAGCATTTTTAGCTGCAATGAGAAAACTTCTAATTTTTGTAACTGATAAAAATGTGAAAAAGTTACATGTTACAGAAAAGTGAAATTCTTGAAACCAAATAACAACAGCTGAAGGTTTAAGATACAAAAAGTGCTAATTTTGACCCGCTAATAAAAAATGGATCCATCAGACGAGTTTGTGCTAATTGACAGTATAAATGGAACATTGTGTACCATGGAGCATAACAGGAAATCCTTGGAAATAGAAATGTATAAGATTTTAAAAGGTGAGATGGTAAAAAAATTCTTTTTTGATGGAAAAATTTGAATTTTAATAAGGCTAAAAGCTATATATGTGTAATTTGGGTGGAATATTTGTATGAATACCGTCTATTCTCTAATACTCAGGGGAGTGTGGGATGGATGCAAGGGTGTTGGTTTTTGTTACATTTTCCAAAGGAAGGGGGAGGGGCAGTTGAAAAAAAAAAATTAAAAAAGGTTAATATTGTCACAATGAAGTGAATATTTACTGTTTCCTGTGTTAGCACAAAGACATTATAATATACAAATAATATATATATTAAATGTCTCTGGTTATCAAAGTGGGACGTACATTTATAAAAAAAATAATACTGTTGTATTTATAAAAGTTTTAGCAAAGCTATCAGCAAATATAACAAATTGCTTCGCTGTCATTTATTCATCCCATAATTACTTGCTTTATTTTAGTGACAATGCGCCACACTTTTTATAAAACATATTTCATATAATTTGAAAAAAGGATAATTATGCTTAAGTTATGTTCTGTATATATTTCATAAAAGAATGTAAAAAAACAACACACAAACACTTTTATATAATGAGAAAAAAAATAATTTAACAGTAGATAAATTATAATATTATGAATTTTATATATTTAAATTTAACCTTCTGTTAAAGGGTTAATGGAAATGTATATTATCTGTTAAAAAAAGGAAATTGAGTCATTTGATAATAACTAGAAAAATTTGAATTGAAGGGATTTATTTGATTCTTACTTAATAAGAAAATTGTGATAATTTTGTCAATTAATAATTAAGTCTGATTTTCTCACTTAATAAGGAAATTGTGATAATTTAGTCAATTAATACTCAATCTGATTTAAAAAAAATGAAATTTTAAGGGATTTATTTGATTCTTACTATAATAAGGAAATTGTGATAAGGAAATACTCACTAAAAAGAGAATTATTTGAATTAATACTGTGCTAAAAAGGAAATGAATTTGTATAAACAGGAAAATAATATACATGAACAAAGGTTCCTCAACATAATACATTGTTAAGCTGATGGTTTATCATTCATTGTTGAGAATATCATCAGTCACTGGTGATGATTCAGAGTCAGGTTTGAATATATATTTACACATGGAGAGTCCATGTCAGTAAAGACGGAAAGTCACAACTTGACTTGAAGAAGTATCAGTATTGTATCTTAAGTAAAAATACTGGTATTATAATATAGGTATTCTACTATATATGTAATTATCTTTCTCAAGTAAGTAATGTTTATTTTAGTCATCGTTTTTCTTCTCAGTACAATATCTTATAATTTATGCATATTAAAGTGGAGGGAAAAAAAGTAAATATTTGCTTTTATTTCATAGAAAATACCTTACTCATGGTTGGATATGTTTCGTAACCTGTTTGGATTTAGTTTAGTTTTGTTTAATATGCAGTTAAGAAAAAAAAAATGGAATGTCAGAAAATAACGTGTCCGAAATGAAAATTTGTAGTACAGAATTCAAAAGGATCAGAGGCCAGAAAGTTAATTAGACGAGAGTTATTAACATGAAATGATTTTGTTATTATTTCAGAATCAGTCCCGGAGATGAGACCTCGTAATGCTAACATCGACCGAGAGACGGAGCAGGTGAAAGAAGAGCTGAAGAAATTCATTAAAAGATTTAGTAGACAGATTGAAGATGACTTTCTAAAGGTGCATAGTAAATTTTCTTCATTATCTACAGTACTTACGATAAAATATGTACAGGTAATATTGTAAGCGTTTAACCGGCAAGAACCGGAAAGGATAACCCCTTGTCAGGAATACAAAGTGTAGTATGACCAGGTTTAATATTGTTGGTATTGGTAAATTTGACATTGAAATCTGCTAAACTTTGAATGAACTGTTTCAATTTGCTATTCAGTCAGTACCTATTTCGGAATTTTTCCCTAAAAATGATCACTTTATTAAGTCTATAAGACAATTAAGAGAAAATTTAAAGCAGGACAATACACAAGGTCAGCATTATAAAGGTAAGCTGACAGATATCACTTCAGTCTTAATGATATTCTTTAGAATCATTATGTATAAGAGAGACAAGTTTACTTGTAGACAGTGCTTCCATTAATGGAAGTTTTCGTGAATTTACTCCTTGATTTAATTTGTAGCTTGTTACTTCCAAAATTGTAATGCTTTTCCTTGTAACAATATAATGTGAATTCCAATCAGATAAGAAATTCTGCAGTCTTTCAAATTCACAAGTTGGAACTTAATGGAAGCCTTATTGTAGATGTATAATAGCGTACCAAATTTCAATGGAGTCCTCCACTGGAAAATATAAAAGTGTAGACACATTGATGCATTGAAATAAACCATTCAGTCACGTAACCTATTTATAAACAGAGCGACAGGTCCTATGAATATTCCTTCATTGTTGAATACCAGAAAAGTAATCTACTAATGTTATAGATATGAAATTTATGTCAAGGGAGGTAATCAGATTCACAATTTTGGATAATTCCATGTTTTGCCACTTGTTACCTCCCTTGCCATTTCTGTTTATGACCTTTAATCTTTTCATTGTGATAAGTTTATTATGAATTCTTCTCAATGTTTATTTCAGACGGTTCAGGTGCTGGTTGACAAGCTGTACCGGAATGTAGATGCACCAGTGGACGACCTTACCGATCTGGTTCAAGAATTTTATATAAAGCTTGGAAAACGTATGGATACACATTCACTGTATAAAGGTAATTGCCTGTTAGTGTTAATAAATTTTTAATGAAAAACAAACAAAAAACCAAAAAGCATAGCTTGCCGGTTCCATTGGTGTCTTTGAAGGCTTAAAAAGGCTGAAAAACTTTGAATTCTTACTCATTACACAGCTTTTCTTATATTCAGATATTTCAGAATAAGTAAGGAATGCAGTTAGCTTGGATCTCATGATATTTAGATAGTAAGATTTTATGAAGTAAAACGATATTGAGATGGAAAATCCATGATATTGATATGTAAATCTCGTGACATTTAACTATAAATGACATAATATTATGTTGTAAATAAGGTTTCAAACCTGGTGTTAAATCATTTTTCAGACGTGTCTCAAGAGGACATAGAAACTCTACTAGATTTCGCAGAGAAATACATAACAATCAAAATGTACACGTGGCTGTTCTGTCCGGGAACGACCGACGACGAACAGAAAGACCTACAAGTTCAGACTCAGATACGAAGTCTTCACTGGGTCACAGGTCAACAGCTTGATACGATGATCAATGAGCACGAATCAGAAGTCAGAACTCTAGTCGATTTAGCTATCACAGGTAAACAAAATAACTAGCATAAACAAACCTCCATAAGTCGCAGCATGACTGAGTGGTTAAAGCGTCTGATTAGTAATCTTATGATTCCTAGCCGTATGGATTCAAATCCAACATGGCAAGTCAGAATTCTAGTCGATTTAGCTATCACAGGTCAAAAAAAACTAGCATGAAAAAATTCTCTGTAAGAAGCGGCATGGCTGAGTGGTTAACACGTCTGACTAGTAATCTAATGATCGCTAGCCACATGGGTTCAAACCCCCATCAGGGACAAGTCTTTGTTTCTTTGAGCAAGAAACTTTACACACATAGCTCAGTACTGGTTGGTTCCAGGAACGGATTCAAAAGTGTGACTATAAGCATATAGCTTCCTTCACAATCAAACTAAAATGAATTCTGTATAAACCAATCTCTGTAAGTTCTAAATTTAAATGTTGAAGAATATGATGTAAAGTTTTGAAAGCATTCTCTATAATTCTTAGCCTGATTTCAGCAAATGAATTTTCCCTTTGCAGTCAATGCAGACCACTATCTGTGGGAACATTTGTGCCATTTGGTCATGGTCTACACTGTTCATTATTCTAACTGTCTTATTTTGAAATTTTCATAAAAAAAAATGATCACCTTGTCTAGTTTGAAGGCAATAAAGAGAAAAAATATCCATTCTATTTAGTGTTCACAATTAAAGACACAAGAATGCTTGTTGGTATAGATTTGGATATTGCAGAAAATTTTATATCTATTTGCTTGTCTTTCTATTTATAGAAATAATTGAGGTGAACTCAACGAAAGCCCCTCAAGACAAGTTGGCGTGTATAGTAAGATGTAGTAAACATATATTTCAAATCATTCGTCAGTCAAAAGAAGGCCCGGCGTGTGCCGACGATTTTCTACCTGCTCTAATATATATTGTGTTGAAAGCCAACCCGCCACTGTTACAGTCTAATATACAGTTTATCACAAGGTTTTCATGTCCAAGTCGACTTATGAAGGGAGAGGCAGGTTACATCTTCACAAACTTGGTACATATTACATATATATTTTCTTGGTTTCCGAGATTCTTTCTTCATTTTCTTTTTATCTCACCTGTCACAAAGTGACAGGGTGAGCTTTTGTGATCGCTTTTCGTCCGGCGTCCGTCCGTCCGGCCGTCCGTCCGTAAACTTTTACTTTAAATGACATCTCCTCATAAACCACTAAGCCAATTTCATCCAAACTTCACAGGAATGTTCCTTTGGTGGTCACCTTTGAAAATTGTTCAAAGAATTTAATTCCATGCAGAACTCTGGTTGCCATGGCAACCAAAAGAAAAAACTTAAAATATCTTCTTCTAAAAAACCCAAAGAGCTAGAGCTTAGATTTTTGCCATGAAACATCTTCTGGTGAGTGTCTACCAAGTTTGTTCAAATAAAAGCCCTGGGGTCAAAATTGGCCCACCCCGGGGGGGTCATTGATTTTCCCTATATGCATATAGTAAAAACTTAAAAAATCTTCTTTTAAAGAACCCAAAGAGCTAGAGCTGAGATATTTAGCATGAAACATCTTCTAATGGGTGTCTACCAAGTTTGTTCAAATAAAAGCCCTGGGGTCAAAATTGGCCCCGCCCCAGGGGGTCATTGATTTTTCCTATATGCATATAGTAAAAACCTAAAAAATCTTCTTTTAAAGAACCCAAAGAGCTAGAGCTTAAATATTTAGCATGAAACATCTTCTAATGGGTGTCTACCAAATTTGTTCAAATAAAAGCCCTAGGGTCAAAATTTGCCCGGCCTTGGGGGTCATTGATTTTCCAAATTTCCTTATATGTGTATAGGAAAAACTTAAAAATCTTCTTTGAAAAAAACAAAATAGCTAGAGTTTAGATATTTAGCATGAAACATCTTCTAGTGATTGTCTACAAAGTTTGTTCAAAAAAAAGCCCTGGGGTCAAAATTGGCCCCACCCCAGAGGTCATTCATTTTCCCTATATGTGTAAAACTATAGCAAAAATTGAAAAATCTTTTTTGAAAAAACTCAAATAGCAAGAGTTTAGATATAAAGCACGAAGCATCTTCTAGTGAGTGTCTTCAAAGTTTGTTCAAATAAAAGCCCTGGAGTCAAAATTGGCCCCGCCCGGGGGACATTGATTTTCCTTATACGAGTATAGCAAAAACTTAAAAATCTTCTTTTAAAAAACCCGAATAGCTAGAGTTTAGATATTAAGCATGAAAAATTTTCTAGTAAGTGTCTACAAAGATTGTTCAAATAAAAGCCCTGGGGTCAAAACTGGCCCTGCCCCAGGTGTGTCATTGTTTTTAACTATATGTGTAAAGAAAAAACTTTAAAAAATCTTCTTTTAAAAATCCCAACGAGCTAGACCTTAGATGTTTAGCATGAAACATCTTCTGATGGTTGTCTACAAAGTTTGTTCAAATAAAAGCCCCGGGCTTTAAACTGGCCCTGCTCCGGGGGCCTATGTACAGGTGAGCGACTTCAGGGCCATCATGGCCCTCTTGTTTAAAAATGAGTTCAACTTGATCTTAAATGCTGTATTAGTAAAAGGGAGATAATATTTATGTAGGAGACAAAGAAATTGCAACAGAACAATTTGATTTAAAAACAGTAAGAAAAACTGATATTAAACAATAACCTATTTCAAACAATTGATATTCAAAATTTAGTGTTTTATCTGTAATACAGTAAATTTGATTAAATAGCAAAGTTAATTTTTCATTTGGTTTACAAATTCAACATTGTATAGACAGTTTTATGAAATTATTACAGACTTCTGTTGATATCTGATAATACTAAACTGATTCTTTTGTCCACAATTGTTGTTTGTTTAAAATTAGAAATATGTTTTGCATTTTATATATATTTGATTTGATTGTTTTCATGCTTTAACATATTTTGGTTCACTCATAGACTTAATAAATATTTATTTTATTTCAGTGTTGTGCTGTTCAATTTATTGAGAACATAACAGCTGACTCATTGGCTCTGACACAGCACGAGTTTGACCGGTACATGTCCGGTGAGGCGATCCCGCCACAATCCGGGAACGAGTACATGTGCGAGGGTTTACGTTTGATGTATGACAATCTTAAAACATTAGCCGAGTTACGTACACGTCAAGAAAAAGTTATGGCCGAGGCTTTACAACTTCAACAGGAAATGAAAGACTTTAAAGAAAACTTTAAACAGGAAGTTGAAAATGTGCTGAAACGTACGCCTCTTACAATTAAACCGAGAAAAGTTAAAGTTGATTTAGACGAAGATTCAGAAAGTCTGGACCTTTTACCATCACCCCTGTTACCCTTATCAGTTGATAATGTTGCCATGGAAACTAGAAATGAATCGGAGACAGACTGTGTCATGGAAGCTGATACAAGTACAAGTGAACCAGTCGAGGCTACTTGAAAAGCTATTTTTAGATTTCTAATAAATTTTTTTTGGCATTTGGCCAGTTTTGAGAAAATGGCACAATAATATTGGATGGACCAATCCTTAAAGAGGTTTTCACTTAAACTGTTTGGTTTTATCATGTATTTGGGGAGGTGCAGTATTAGAACTTGATTATTGTTGACTCATAAAATTGTGCAATGTTTACTTTATTATTGTTTGCATTTTTGAATAAATACAACTTTATGATTAATTTTTAACTCTTACTATTACAAGATTATGCTTGGTGATTTCTTATTTTGAATTACATAAGCTTAGATCTTTTGCTTTATTTCTTAACCACTCTTCAAATAGCTTTAAATATACTCAGTCACTTTGCCAATATATCTAAATTATACACTATGGAATTGAATGTAAGAAATTATTAATATTCTCTCAAAATGGTTAGTATTTGACACAAAGGTATTTTTTCAAAATTATTTCCTTTAAAAAATCAAAATAGATTTTTCTCTTATTCCATCCCATTTCATGAAAAATTATAGTGATGGATTTACAGTGAGTGATATACTGTGGATTATATAGATTATATCCCTCTGATGAAGCACTGTATTTCATTAAATACAATGTGGAGAAAACCATGTTTCAGAGTGAACATATACAATGGAAAGATAACACTTTTGTTCATAAGTTTGTCATTATTTAACAAGATTTTGAAAGTTGATATCAATAAATTTTTATTCTCTTGAAAAAGTAAACAAGTTTTCTTTTAACTCATCACATAAATAAATACTCATTTACGATAAAAAGACTTTCTCAAATGTAACCAATTCTACTTCAAGTACAGCAATTGTTTAAAAATATTTTTTTTACAATAAATCTGTACCAAGACAGTTTCAGTTATTTGAAAACACACTGATTCAAAAAAATCATGTTGAATGTGCAAGACTTCAAAAATATGTTGGAATGTGCTATGTTAAAATAACGATGCACAAAATTATCCACAAAACTTAAATCTTTATTTTTTGTTGATACTTTGTTTGTATTGAATTATATAGGTTTTTGGATTTTAGGATTAACTATGGAGAAGTGGTGAAATTTAGTGTTTTTACAAAATTACAAAATATTCTTATAGCGGAATTATATTTGGCTCACAATGTATATATTTAGTGCTCATAATGAAAACTTGAAAAACATTTTATATCTTGATATGAGATACAAAATCATTCCATTATTTATTGTGTATAGATACTTCCATTTATTATTAACAGTTAAGTTGTAGTGATAAATTATATTGTAACCTGGTTTGTGTGTGCGCGTGTGCGTGTGTGAGTCAAACACAAACTGGAACATGCAATCCCTCTTGTGCTTCACAATTTCCTCATCTTTACTTATTAAAGGCCTCCTTGCTTTAGAGGTTATGGTCTTTGATTTATAATCACATGTACCTTGCCGCTGTGGGTTCGAATCTCATTGTAGGCTTTGGATTTAGGTTAGTAAACTATACAGCTTGCTTACGAAAGGTTGGTGGTTTCATAAAATTCTAACGGATGCCTGAAATAATGCATAAATGTGCTCCTGAGGGTTTCCACCACAAAAAAGAGCTTAAAAGTTGCCATATGACCTTAAAAGGGATGGTTATGACTTGATATTCAACTATTAAATACTGAAAAATGAAATTTAAAATCAAAACCAAGTTGTCTTTGATGCAAGTTCCCATAAAATTACGGAATTGTCAAAGGAAATTTCAACAAATGGCATTACAGCTTCTAGTTATAGTAATAATTTAATGGTTGATAGTCAAGTAGCTTATTGCATGATATAGAAATTATATCTTCATTGTTGATTAGAACAATGCTTTTTTGCCTGTGGGGATTTTGATGTACAGTAAAACCTCGACATAACAATACCCATTCAGAGAGAAAGATTTTAGTGGTTGTTGAGAGATATTGTTCTAGAGAGGTTAGATTTATTGTGAGTTCTATCTTTTGGAAGAAGTGATACAGTAGTTACTGAGAGGTAATTGCTCTCTGTAGATGGCTGGTCTGGAGAGGTAATTGGTCTACAAGTGGCTGCTCTGTAGGGGTTGAACTATATATTTTCAGTGTATAAACATTGCTTTGTAAATATGATGCTTTACAATTTAAAGATAATGCATAATATGCTTGTTCCATTCCCTGTAATAGTATAGTTTTTAGACAGAAATAACCATATTTCTTAAAGAATCATTCCATATATTATTATATGTACTATAGAATTATATTTTTTCATCAAAACTAGCATTGAACAAATTGCCACACAAAAAAATAGATTTTTTTTTTCATGAAAAATGAATGATGATGAATTGAAATTTTTCAGTCATTTTTGAATTAGAAAGTAAAATATATATTGGCCTTCAATTCGACTGTACATAACTGTACAGGCCAGCTGGAAACATTACTGGTAATCCTAAACCAACCAAGCCACCATTGCAGTCAGCACATTTGATCATAAACTGCAACTTTTCCCTATTTATTAAGAAAAAGATTTTGAAAATTATAATTATTTTCACTGTTTATTTTTTTTTTTTAAATCCTAAATGATTACCGGTAATTGAAAGATGGACAAGTCCATATAAGATATTTAGCATTGTTAGAGTTAATAATTATTCAATTCTGAAATGTTGAAAAAGAATTTGCTTTAAAGTTCTGCATACTTGTAATGTCAAATCTTGACATTATATTATCTATATACATTCACAGCTGTTGCAAATTTATAAATTGTTTTCTAATTAAATCAAAGAAAGCTGATTTGTAGTATTAATTACTTTTGACAGGTTTTATGGCCGTGATAGAACCATTGATTTTTGCTAGTAAAACTTGCCTTGTTTTTGTTCAGGTTATATAAGTGTACAATCATTTTGTCTGGGTCATATAACTTGTCAAAAGTTTTTTTTAATATAAAACCAGTAATACAATATATGTGCATATACATATGTATATGTTATGGAATGTATCTTTAAGATGTTTTGCATATACATTTAATAAAACCAAATGTTATGGAATGGATCTTTAAGAGATGTTTGGAAATGTGCACTTAAATATAATGTTAAATTAATTTTATGATGTATTTATATTTCTTATACAGGGTTTTATTAAATTGAATACCAGACAAATGTAAATATTAAATATAACTATTCCTTCTTGAATGGGAGGTGAATAGCCTTTATACCAGAATAAAGTGTCAATAATGTTGGCTGACCTAAGTTCAATTTTCCATCTTGAGATACCCAAATTTAATAATGGACAATTCCATAAATAGAAGCTGGACAAGTCCTATTATGAAAATTTAGTAGGTTAAGGGTTAAAGGTTGAAAGCTTGTATAATTATGTATCTGATAATCTGGTTGTTTGTGTATATGTATTTATTAATGGCCGAAAACTTGTGTATACTTGTTGTTTTGTGTTTTATAATTGTTAAGTATTAATTTATACATTAAAACATTCAAAATGTAACAGTTTTTGTTTTTTTTCCCCTGTGTTTGGTATTATATAAATGTTGTTTTCACCAAGAGGGATGATGTTTCACTATTAGTCAGTCAGTGAAGAGCATGCCGGAAGGTTCCTGTGGTGCCATTTGTGTTGGCTGGCTGTGGCTGGTGGAAAACAGCCTCCATAAGATCAGATACTTGTAGACAGTAGTTTTAGGGGTAAAAGCTGTTAAAGGGACTCCATTGTGGATTTTGACATGACTGGATTGAAAATCATTTTTAGCTCGACTATTCGATAAGAATAAGTAGAGCTATTGTAGTCACCCAAGCGTCGGCGTCAGTGTCTGCATCGGCTTAACCACTTATGTTTAAGTTTTTGTAATAGTTCAGATATTTTCAAAGTCCAATGACAATTGGCTTTGAAACTTTCCACACTTGTTTACCATCATTACCCCAACCTGTAAACAGGAGGAGGTAACTGTATCAAGCATTTTGACAGAATAATGCCCCTTTTTCGACTTGGAATTTACGTTAAAGTTTTTGTAATACCTCAAATATTTTTAAAAGTCCATTGACATATACCTTTGAAACTTTGCACACTTGTTCACCAGCATTACCCCAACCTGTAAACAGGAGGATGTAACTGTATCAAGCATTTTGACAGAATTATGCCCCTTTTTGACTTAGAATTTACGTTAAATTTTCTGTAATACCTCAAATATTTTCAAAGTCCATTGGCATATGGCTTTGAAACTTTGCACACTTGTTCACCATCATTACTCCAACCTGCAAACAGGAGGAGGTAACTGTATCAAGCATTTTTATGCCCCCACAATGTGGGAGCATATAGCGTTGCACTTGTCCGTCCGTCCGTCAATACGTCAGTCCGTCAGTCCGTCTGTCCGTACGTCCCGAAATCTTGTGAACGCAACTCCTCTTAAACCAGATGGCAGATTTTGCTTAAACTTACAGGGATGAACAACCTTAATGTGTAGATGGTAGTAAAGGAAGGAATTTTTGCTGCGACCAAATTTAACAGAATTATGGCCCTTTGTTCATTTTTTCATTATATACTATGTTGAAATTTTGTGAACGCAACTCCTCTTAAACTGGATGGCAGAATTTGCTTAAACTTACAGGGATGAACAACCTTTATGTGTAGATGGTAGTAAAGGAAGGAATTTTTGCTGCGACCAAATTTAACAGAATTATGGCCCTTTGTTCATTTTTTCACTATATACTATGTAGAAATTTTGTGAACGCAACTCCTCTTAAACCGGATGGCAGATTTTGCTTAAACTTACAGGGATGAACAACCTTCAGGTGTAGATGGTAGTAAAGGAAGGAATTTTTGCTGCGACCAAATTTTACAGATTTATGGCCCTTTGTTGATTTTTTCACTATATACTATGTAGAAATTTTGTGAATGCAACTCCTCTTAAACCGAATAGCAGATTTTGCTTAAACTTCCAGAAATGAACAACCTTAATGTGTAGATGGTAATAAAGAAAGGAATTTTTGCTGCAACAAAATTTAACAGAATTATGGCCCTTTTTTGATTTTTTCATTATATACTATGTTGAAATTTTGTGAATGCAACTCCTCTTAAACCGGATGGCAGATTTTGCTTAAACTTCCAGGGATTAACAACCTTAATGTGTAGATGGTAGTAAAGGAAGGAATTTTTGCTGCGACCAAATTTAACAGAATTATGGCCCTTTGTTGATTTTTAGTTTTCAACTTGTGGCACATGTAGTCCAAAAAATATTTGACCTAGAGTCATAAGATTGACAGAACAGTGGCGTGTGGGGGCATCCGTGTCCTATGGACACATTTCTAGTTTTTACTATCAAGCACTAAGAATAGTGGAGCGTTGCTGTCCTACCTACAGTTCTTGTTAGACATTAATGTACCATTTGATGAAGGTCAAAACCAACAACCTGTTTGCAAAAATTGCTCATACGTTTCTCCATAATAATTTTTGTAATTGAGATATATTACCTAAACTTGCAACGGTTTCTTCACTAAAATCAGACCAAGGAAAGTACAAAAATAAGATTTACAATTTATTTCAGACTATATTTCCTTAATTATCTTTTGAGTGACTTTCTATTTTTAGTGCCCTATGTGATCTATGTAAGGAATTCAAATTTTATGTATTTGGGCTTTTGTAAATCTGAGTGAATGGAGTCCCTTTAAATCTAAAACTGACAGCTACAAAATGCCCCCACCTTATTTATATGGCTGAAGACATTAATTTAGCCCCACAATACTTGTTCATTGATTCATGCAGAAAAAGTTGGCAGTTACTTTCAAGCAGAAGAAATAATACTTGTACAAAAGTCTTGGAACACTGTGCAGTGCCATGGAAGTATATTACTACTTTCAAGTAGAAGAAATAGTACTTGTACAAAAATTCTGGAACAAACTGCAGTTACCATGACAGTACATGACTCGAGTGCTTTTGAAAGCACGTGAAAACCATCCAAAACAATCATGAGAAATCATTTCATCATACATGCATAATTACTAAGAAAAACAAAATATGTATTGAATTTCTAAAATTTATTCCGTGTATTTTGTATTTATATGTATATAAGAAATATGATTGACAGAGGAATTAAGAAAATAAAGATTGTATAGAGTAGTGATTATTATGCTTTCATTGTGCACATGAAGTTAACATTATGCTCACATTAAGTTAACATTATCATTATGCTCACATTAAGTTAACTAAGTTAACATTATGCTCACATTAAGTTAACATTATCATTATGCTCACATTAAGTTAACTAAGTTAACATTATGCTCACATTAAGTTAACTAAGTTAACGTTATGCTCACATTAAGTAAACTAAGTTAACATTATGCTCACATTAGGTAAACATTGTACTCGTATATTGCTTTCCTGCAAAGATTATGCAAAATTTGCTCACATAATGTTAACATTTGCTCACATTATACTCAGAATTAATGTTAATCAAGATAAAAGTTGATTGTGAGAAATAACAAGATAAAAATGATTGAAATTAACAGATAAAAAGGATATGGAATTTGAACTATCAAAAGTTGCTAGAAAAACATTGGACTAATTCATGCCAGCATCACACTGACAATCCAGTCAGCATATCTATGTAGTAAAACAAGATGATTAGATTGTTGGATAATCAATTTAAATATTATCATCCTGACACACCTGAAACTGACAATGGGCAGTTCCATATTTAATGCAAGGCTAGTCCATTATACAAAAATCAGTGACAGAAAATTAATAATGATTATGCACATTGTACAAAAGAATTATTATACAAAGAAACATGTATATTGAAATGCACAGTTCTACTAATAAACTGATTGAGTAATTGATTGATTAACTAAATAAACTCATAAAACAAATCAAAGCAATCAGATTGATTGATTGATTGATAAACTTATAAACTTCAGATTACAAATCAAAATAATGAAATTGAATACCAATAATTCAAATTTGAAAGGAAAACTAACAAACATTAATTTTTAGGGTCCATAAAAAATGTGAAATGTTCAATAATATTGGTTTTCAAAACAATGCTCTAATTTTTTCAATGATTTCCCCATCAGTAGTGACAATTTTGAATTTAACTTTGACCTCTTTACATATTTACCCATGTAGTGTAATTTGACACATTTTGTAAATATATTTTTATCACATTTTTTTTATTTTTAATAGTCATAAGTAACTTATAAAGAACTTAAGTGACAAAAGTGATTTACAAAGAACTTAAAAATATAAAAATAACAAAACAATGTATCACAAATGTAATAAAGTTTCAATATGCAACAGAATTTGGAATGTTTGATAAACAAACTTTCTTCGCTTGAGCATGTAAATTAATTATTTTAAAACGTAACAAAAAATGTAACAAGATTGTACATGGTACATGTATACATAAGTATAGATATAATTTATTTTGTAAATGGTAAAAATATATTTTTTTAATAAAAAAGCACACAGAAAAAAACAACTTGTTTTCAAAACAATTAACAGTCCAAAACAGAATGATAAAAAAAACGCAAGTAACAAAAAATGTTGCACAAAACAAACTTCTAATAAAAAGACCAACAAAAACTGGAAACACCAATAATGCACTTTTTAAGATCATAGTCCTTGCCTATTCTACATAAAATTATGTCAAGTGGCAGTAGTTAAAAAAAATAGAATATATTTTCTTGTTATTCTATCAGTATTAAAAATTGCATTCGATTTGACCTCTATTTTAAAACCGGATTCATTCTCAAAAAAAAAACAATAGAAAATAGTAGATGTATAGCAAAATTGAGTCTTTAAATCTGTGGTATCAGTTTGTCATAATAAAAATGACATTCAAAATTGTTGAGAGTATGTATCATAGTAATTAAATTTTTTCAACCATTTAATAGAAATAACTTGTGATAATGCTATTTGTTGGGTTTTTTAAAACGCAATATTGTGAATAATGTCCATTACAAAGTTGCTAACTATGTTAAAGCAAAACACTATAAACTGACAATCTAGCTAGGTATGTTACTTTCAGTAAAACTAACTAATTTAGTAAAGTGCTATAATTTATCAAAGTTAAATTGGTTTTTTTTAAATGATTTTTTAAAAACTGCCAAAAAGGTAACTTCAAAAATACATAAATTAGAGAACTTTATGATACATTCAATAAATTTAGTCTAAAACAACCCCATTACTCCTGGTGTATTTTCAAAGTTATAATAAAATATGTTTTACTCATGAAAGCTGGCAAAAAGCTTAAACTAAAGCTTAATTTCTATTATTTGCAATTTTCACATAATGTAAATGATAATTCAAATATGACTTTAACATAACATGTATATTATAATCAATAAATAGAAGAAAATGATATAAAAAGAGAGGTAAGAAATTTCTACAGCACTAAATGCTTATCAACGTGTCCATGATTCTCTTATTTTAACCTAATCAAGATTAACAAACAACAACAATGGTGAATATCTAATATTCAATATATTTCCATCTATTTAAAAATCTATTTATAACCGTTGTATTTTATTGGTGGGAAATGGTTGTATCTGATTGGCTCTTCATAATGGGGCGGGTTGTAAAGACCCCATTTAGGTACTGGCACTTCTTTGGGAATGGGGTCGGGTTTTGGGTGTGTCATTCCACCTGCATAATATCTATTTGGTGGTAAAGGTTTTAACATGTCCTTCTGCATAACCTCGTTTGTAACAGAGATAAAATCATCGTGAACACGGCTTGTAGGTTTTGAAGGTTGTTCATATACCCAGTTGATATTCTTGTAATCCGCTGAAAATAATCATGGTGAAATTAAATGCATGTTATTCCTATAAGGAAATGTTAGATTTTGATTTTGTGTGTATTATTTAGGAAATACATGAAGATATTATCTTTTGAGTGTGTTGTCGCAGAATAATGTAATATGCAATAATGAGGTGTGTACGGAAACATACTTTATAAATAGTACACAGCACTATAACATTATAGTAACCAATTGGTCAAGTGTGCAAACATTTAACGGGCCATGACTTAAGGCTGCGGACCATATAATGTTTGAGGCTGAATAAGAGGTAACTATAGTCGAGGGTTCACTGTATTTTTTGGTCAGATCGCTGACGCCATAACAAATATTGTTCTATTTATAGACCTGCAGACACCTATCGTATGTAAATAAAGAAGGAACAAATTGCAAGGTATAATATTTAGACATGGTTATAACTTCAGTTTGAAAGATGTTCTGTAACATCATTGTATCTATGAATTAAGACTGGCATTTTAGCAGCCTGAATTATCTTGAAATGCTCTCTTATAAATTATCTTTGCCCATTTTAAAGCTTCTAATCTAATTATCAGTCTTCATCTACATCACATTTAGTTCATAATAGATCCTTCCTGAATATCAATGAAATACATGTATCCAATGAAAAATCTGCCAATAAAGTTCGATCATGACTAATTTGTCTTATACAGCATTACTTACACTGCCAATTCATACCACATAAGTTTTCAGCTTGCTGAATCTTTGCCTGTAGTATTCCCAATTAATTTAAATCTGTCACAGGTCGTTTTATTTATTATTTGAATTGTTCATTTTGCCGTGCACTGTTCGTCATTTAGTCGCGGGAAAAGTAATCTTAATGTCCGCGCATGCGTCGATTATCGTTTGTCTCCGTGGCGTCTATTATCGTCTGCTATTGTATTGTATCGAATGGTTCCGTAACGTACGCTTATGAGCGGAAATTCACGGAAACGGCCAAAACAATTCAACTATGTCTGTATCTCGTGCAATTTTGTGAACTGTTTTTGTATGTCCAATCGTTTTGTACATTGTATGAAAGAGTTTTGAGAGAAAGTTTTAGATTGGTTTTTAACATTTTCTTTCTTCCAAATTCCCGCGAACTTTCCTTCTTCACTTCACTTCGTCTTTATTCTCTTACCAGTTACGATATACTATTCTACTTAGTACATAAATTCTTTAAGTTTATTTAATAGAATTTTTGGAAATAACTTATTATTAAGTTATTTATTGAGACGCTGTGGCTTTATCTTCGTATTATATATTAAATTGACGAACCTACGCCAGGAGTTTGTATTATTAACTCTACCCTGTGACAAATCTATGAATTATATTTGATGATTATGTCATTATGTCAAAATAAAAAAGCAACTCGTCCTGAAAACTCCAATGGTTTAAAACTTAGTTCATTAGTGTATCCAATAGGTTCCAGAAGCAAAACAATTCCAATGATTTAAAAGTTAGGTCATTTGACTTAAATAGTGAATAAATCAATATACATTATGCATGTACAAACCTCTCCTTATTGTGTTCACATTACGTCTGTACCAGTCTGGATTTTTGGATGATGATTTCCATGCATACCAGTCTGGTCTTTCTCCACTCCATTTTCGCCAACCATCCTATAAATACAAGCTTATATTAGCGTTTTCTTGGTTCTTAAAACTTAATCAATGACAGTAATCTAAAATGTGGTTATGTACTACATGTACATTGAGTTTTAGTAGTAAAGCTGCAACCTGAAGTCCTTAACTTTCACTGATTACTTTACTTCCATTTCTTTCATAATAGAATATTTGTATAATTGTTTTTCTGGTGTGTTTTTTTTAACGCAAATTTTATTACATTTTCGGTCATATATCTTGGCGGCTGGGGCGGCTGATCCATTCACTGATTTTAAACAGTTCTTATTTTGATTGTCTGCAATATGGTTACAAATTCCACAAAAAGCTTTAACCCGTCGGAAAAAGGGGGAAAGTCAAAGACCCCCCCGCGAAGCGGTCCTGGTTTTGGGGTTTCCCCCGGCTATAGACTACACTTTAAATTTTTTAAAGAAATCAAATAAAAAAAAATTTAAAAAATATAAGTTTTCTAACCTATAAATGAAATTTTCAGTGTCAGTTCTATGGGGGCCCCCCATTTAAAATGATGTCAATGAAAAAAGGGGGGGTATTCCGATAACGGAACAAATTCAATTTTTGTTTAGAAAACGTGGTGTTCCGGGTAAAAAAGGGAAGCGGTTTAGTCATTCGAATGACCCTTTAAAAACGGAAAATTTAAAGGTTTTTTTTAAGTCTTCCCCTTTAAAAGGGCTTTGTCAAATTTTCATATTATAGCCTTTAGACTTAATGTCAGAGGTCAACTGTCACACAGAAATTTTGCAAGTTTTGTAAAATTACACAATCACTTAAACATGAAACAAAAATGGAGCTTCAAAAGTTTATCTACATGATGGTAATGAAATTCCATACAGATCAATTTAGTCTGTTCTCATGATTATTTCCCCCAAAAGTGACTTGGTTACCACTGACTTATTTAAAACTTTTACCAAAATAATGTGACATACCCTTGCAACATCTGGATGACTTGAATGGTAAACACTCCACTCATGCAGCTTAGGTTGCCTAAATTATGAGAAAAGTAAATAATTTATGTTAGGTCATAAAACAAAGTACTTAATCATCTGATCATTAATGTTTACAATAAACTGCTAAATAATTGCAACACGAAGAGTGAAAATCAGAACTAAAAATGACATGACATGCAATATTTTTATTACCCATGATGGGCTACCCATGATGGGCTCATTAATAAATATTATTTCTGCTCATTTTAGGATTTAATGCTACAAATATTAAACAAAACAATAAAAGTTAAAGTATAACGACTCACTTTCATTTACATGTTTACAAATATCAGGGCTTTTTTAAAAGAAATTTTGAATTTTGAAAAAAAAATGCTAACCACTCTTTTGTCAACTTTGCTGGATTTGAAAGAAAACCGTATGAAGCTGCCATTTTCTTGAGTATCCTCTTCAACACTGGTACAAATTCCTGTAACTCTTAACAATTATAGGGATTTTATTTATATTTGCTAAGAATTTCTCTAGATTTATACCATTTTCACTATTTGACAGCTGCAGTATTTTTTTTGCCAGTGGTGTAAGCGGCCGGACTATTTTGTCGACGCTCCATAGCAACAGCCGTTTAAGCAATGAAACAAAAGCAGTTGTCATTATCTATGAATGAGTTTACTGCCTTTAAATACTTAAATTTTAATAGAATAGTTAATAAATATAGATAATAAGTTGAATTTAATGCTTTGGTGTAATTAAATAGGAAATTAAACTGCAATATTCTAATATTTTTATTCGTTGATGTAAGCGATAGGCGTAATTGACAACAACATCCAGCATCAAGATGTCTCAATGCAGCACGCTCTTTTTCAATGGAGCCCAAACAAAGACTCCGTATTGGACAAATTATCCACCAAATGTTCCTAAATACCCAAGTTCACAGGAAATGTTCAGGTAATTTACATGATTTTGTTTTTTAATTGATGGTTACTGCATGTGATTTTCATCAAAATTATCAGATTATGATTGTATGATGCTGGCCATTAGCCACTTCCAACACAGCTGTCTTTACTTTGTCAAAGAGTCTGAGATACTGATTGTCAAAGAGTCTGAGATACTGATTGTCAAAGAGTCTGAGATACTGATTATTGACAGGCTATTCAATTTGACAGTAACAAAAACAATCTGTATTATAGAATAAGTCAAACCAAATTTATATTTAGCTAGATGCCATTGCCAGTTCAGGCTACATGTGAAATTTAACAGTTTAAACAACATTTTTTTCAATGCCATCGAAATGAGCCCTAATAAAATGGCATGTGAGTTGTTCCCTTACAGAAGTCCTTGGTATTTCTGAACTATGTTTTAATAAGCTTACTCGCAAAAAAATTAATTAATTGTTGCACATCAATATTCGGCTCTTCACACAAATTATGGAAGTCACATAATTTTCTAAACAATTAAAATAACCCTTGGTTATGAGGCCTGATTTGGGATACCAAAATTATTCATTATTTTGTATGAAGAGAAGTAGTTCCAATACATAAAATATAACCCATTAAAATTATACAATTATACAATGTTGTTAAATCCGTCCTGTTTTTCATTTATAATTGTAAAAGAGACCCTTTTACCAGAGGTAAATAGATGTCATTCAGGAAATAGAGTGTTACTGACAAAACGCTCAACACCATTACCCAACACATTCACATGCAATGGAGTGCTTGTATGCATGATATTTTACTCATAAATTTATTTAATATGGTAATATAGAGCAAAATTCTGATATTGAAACAGGTTTCTCGTATTGCCCACTTATCTGTACACAGGTGTATTTAGTGGAAAACCCTTTTCTAGGCCTCATACATAAGTATTTTTGCGCATATGCCTGCAAGGATGGAATCCTTCATCATATACAAGGTCATGTTTTGACAACACACAGGTGAAAGCAATTTAAACTGAAACCTTTTTGTACCTACTGTCTAACTGACACTTTAATTTTGTCTCGTTCACACATCAGCGTGATTTGATATCAATTTTTTAAGTAAAAAACGAAGCATTTAAACGAAAAAATTTGGGTATAGCTTTTGCACAGGAACTGCTCCCATGCTAGTTAAGGCTTCTTTCCAATTCATAAAATTGTTGAAACCCAATTTTGACTTGAAAATTCCAAAGAATTGTGAAGATTTCTTCCAGCTCAGTTATTTAGACACAAACCATTTTTAAAGGAAAATGTTTTTGATTTTTTCATTCTAAACTCAAATGGTACATTATAATATATCTTAAATATATAAGGGATATTCAAGTTTTTTTCTATAAATACAGGATTTAATTTCATCGAGTGGTATGAAAATAAATATGTCACGAGTAGCAGTAGCCTTGAGTGAAATAATGATAATTTTCATAGCACAAGATGAAAATGAATCCAGTATTTATAGCAAGAACTAGAATTATTGAATTTATTACAAATATATATATTTTCTCTTTTTGACATTACAATTTGAAGGACTTTCCCTTAAATTTTGTATATTGGCTGAAGAAAGTAGTCCATCAAGACACCAGTGAAAATATTAAAAATATGTTTCACTGCAGTGAATTTTTTTTTCAGTGAAAATATGGAAAATGAAAATACGCATTTTATTTATCAATATTTCATTTATAAGTATATAGTAAAAATAAATCTTTAGCATATTGTGTTTACAATATATACAATTATCTTTATTTAATCTAGGATTAATAGCCTAATGGGGTAAATTATTTTATTACCACCCCCAGCATTTATGAACTTCTGTGATATAGCAGACATAGACTTTGAGAATTTTTAATATGAAGAAAAATGAAATTGTCTTTTTATATTCAGGTTTGAAAGACCAGAAAAACACACTGCCAAAGTTGGAAGAGCTTCTTATCAGGTAACTTTATTTTGTAATATTTTTTATAAATTATCAAATATGTAAGAAGTTACAACCCTACCAGTTCATTTTCTTTCTTATTATTGATAAAATAGATGATAATAAATTGGCTGAAATATTACTTAATTCTAACCATTATTGCTGCATATCAGTCAGTCAGAATTTCTTTACTTAAAGTTAAAACCAGTCTAGTTTAACAGATGTAGTGTTTGTTGTATTTATGTCTCATCATTTTAGACAAAAAACAATGTACATGTACAATTTGGTAAATTTTTTGTAGCCATTAACAGTCTTTCATAAAGGCAGCTTATTTTTGGTAATTTTCATAAATTTTAAGTGCTATTTGCAACATTAGATTTACTGTATTTGATCTATTACAAATATTTTACCTTTTAATACATTAATAAACATTTTTCATGAAAATTAGCATGAATCTGAAGGCATGCTGCTTTAAATGGCGTTCCAGAAATAACCATTTATTAGTGTTGGCTGATGTTCAAATTTTTTGAAGGAAGCATAATAAATTGCAACTTCATTATAAAACTTACATTAATGAATTAATATTTCAGCATTGGACAGACAAATGGTACGATTCTGGGTACCCAACATTAAGACGGGAAGAACTTCCTAAAGTTGCCGACAGACACGAGCCATGCTCTCAGCCATGGCAGTACAATGTCGGAACGTCAGCCATCAGAAAATGGGACAAACAAAATAAAGACTGGCCAATACACCCTAAGTATTCTAATCAAGGATTGCCACCGACAGAGACCCAAAGAGCCCGAGGAATGAACCGATTGTCTATTCCAAGGAATGATAATCTTTATCCATTCTCCAACTATATGACCTCGACGTATCGGCGCCCGGTATATTCCATAATGGGCCCAATGCAGAGGGAACCAACTTATGGCGTAACACATCAACATAACAGGCATGGAAATATGCCATTTGAAGATTACTACTAAAACATTTTGTCATAATTTCTCTTTAAAAAAAAATGGTCAAAAAAATTAACTAATACAAAAATAATGAATTCAAACTCTTTAAATAGATGTTATAACTTAAATGCGCCTAAAATATGAAAATATTTCAAAACAGAACATAGTGTTGCATTCATAAAAATACGATGAAAACAAAATCAGTAAACATGAATTTGAAAATTAAAGGTACGTTTTAAACTAGTGCAAAGAAAAAAATTATAAATGAATTTGAAAATGAATGTTTTTGTTATTGTATTGTTTCTCACTAACATTGGTTGTTGGTCTTTTCTTGTTGATGTTGATGTTTTGTATATTTGATAAAAGTTGTTTAGTTGTTTTTTAAAAATTTTAGTGGTCTACAACTTTGAATTCCTTGCAATTAAAGCCCAGTTTCGAAAAAAAGAATTTGACTTGTTATATAATTATACACAATTTTTATATTAGTGTCATATTTCACAGTTGACCTGGCTGCTCAACATTTTTTGTTGTGACTTACATTGTTAATATTATACCGTGTTATGTTTTGTTTTGTGTGTTGTTAATAACTGTGATAATTTTAGGTACTTTGTCTCTGAAAAATTAGATAATTTTATTCTTTTTCAACTCTTTTGCACATTTTTCTACAGTTAAAGCAACTTTAAACTTGCTGATTTACTTTTTATTTAGGCGTTAATTTTACATTTTTGTAGATTTTAGGAGATCTTTTCCCCCGTCTAAATTTCATTAATTAATGCATAATAATTATTAAAATGTGCAAATTTCATTTTGCAATGGGCAGTTAAATGCGTTTTTGTTCTTATTGTATATATTCCATTTTTTATAAAAGAAAACAAACATACTTACTTTTTCCTATTTATATATTAAAAACACATATATAATTTCATAATTATTGTGACTACTTTTTCTTTCCTTCTGAATTTAAATGTTTACTTCAAAGTTGATTTTTGTGATGTTACAAAAATTGCTGTAAATCAATTTTAAACAAGTGCAATTCTTATTCAGCTAGTATTTTGCTGTACTATATTTATATAGGAAAAATCAATTAATAAAGTTTTGAAAATAAAAATAGAGTTACACATCTATATTTCTTTTTTGTTTGTTTCCCAGTTACAATGTTATAGGGTCTTGAATGGTAACTTGTGAAAAAGTTTTAGCTTTACCCTTTCTGATAGGCTTTTTGTGTAGCTAATAATAAATTAAACAGTATACTTGACGGAACCTGTTTTTACGGAAGCGTCCTGGTGCATATTCATAATGTTCTATAAAAAAATAAACTCCTACGTAGGAGATAAAAAAGCCTAATTAGGAGTTTGTAACTCCTACGTAGGACTTTATAACTCCTACGTAGGACTTTATAACTCCTACGTAGGACTTTATATCTCCTACGTAGGAGATAAAAGAGCCTTATTAGGAGTTTATAACTCCTACATAGGACTTTTAAACTCCTACGTAAGACTTTTTAACTCCTACGTAGGACTTTTTAACTCCTACGTAGGACTTTATAACTCCTACGTAGGAGATAAAAAAGCCTAAATAGGAGTTTATAAGTCCTACGTAGGACTTTTAAACTCCTACGTAGGACTTTTTAACTCCTACGTAGGACTTTATAACTCCTACGTAGGAGATAAAAAAGCCTAATTAGGAGTTTATAACTCCTACGTAGGACTTTAAAACTCCTACGTAGGAGATAAAAAAGCCTAATTAGGAGTTTATAACTCCTACGTAGGACTTTTTAACTCCTACGTAGGACTTTAAAACTCCTACGTAGGACTTTTTAACTCCTACGTAGGACTTTTAAACTCCTACGTAGGACTTTTTAACTCCTACGTAGGACTTTATAAACGTCCTACGTAGGACTTTATGACTTTATAAGAAATGCATACAGAATGCTTTGCAAATCTCAACATTCCAGACCGGTATATCGGCGAAGGAACAAGACACTTACCCCCCCCCCCCCCCCTCAAATCTTAAATATAGAGGACATTTCACCTTTGGTTCATACATAATTTATTTAAGTTTTAAGTTCTTGCTCAAGGAAACAACGGCTTGCGCCTAACGGGGTTTGAACCCATGCGGCTAGCGATCATAAGGCTACTTGTCACACGGCCATGCCGCAACACTTCACCTTTTAATAAAATGTCTCAGGTTTCTAGAGTGTACAGTGTCTTAGGGTGAGGTGTCTGTAAGCATTGGCGATGTATCCCGAAAAATTGCTTTACAGCTATTCGAAAAAAACTTACTTGACAAGCATATATATCAAAATTTTAAAAGGCTTTAATGATTACGATTTCAATACGAACTAGCTGAACAAAACGAGCAATTTATCCATTTTCGGCCGTTTCAAATGATTAAATCCTTATAGGGGGCGGGGGGGTAGTGAAGTGTCTTGTTCCTGCTCCGTAAAGTTTAAGAAGATAACGGTTTGCGTATGTTTAATAATGAATTACATTGTATATCCTACTTTGAACAAAGTTTAACCCATACATTTTGTGTACATGTGTATAATAAATATAACTAAACGTACATAATACAGAATCATCGTTTAATATATGCAGAGAATGACAAAATCATCTCTGGCTACAGATTATAGGTATTTACTAAAGTGGCTTGCCACAATTACAACTTGACTAATATGAGCCGCGCCATGACAAAGACAACATAGTGGGTTTGCGACCAGCATGGATCCAGACCAGCCTGCGCGGATGCGCAGTCTGATCAGGATCCATGCCATTCGCTATCAGTTTCTCTACTTGTAATAGGGTTTGTAAGTGAACAGCATGGATCCTGATCAGACTGCGTGGATGCGCAGGCTGGTCTGGATCCATGCTGGTCGCAAATGCACTATGTTGGTTTTGTCATGGCGCGGCTCATATAATTTATTTTCCTACATAATATGCTATCTTAAGTTATACTCTAGCATACATGTCCGTCGAACTCTGTGCTTTCAGTTCTTTGATATGTATTCTACGTAGGAGTTATAAAGTCCTACGTAGAAGTTTAAAAGTCCTACGTAGGAGTTATAAAGTCCTAATTAGGTTTTTTAATCTCCTACGTAGGAGTTAAAAAGTCCTACGTAGGAGTTTAAAAGTCCTACGTAGGAGTTTTAAACTCCTAATTAGGCTTTTTTATCTCCTACGTAGGAGTTATAAAGTCCTACGTAGGAGTTACAAAGTCCTACGTAGGACTAATAAAGTCCTACGTAGGAGTTATAAAGTCCTATGTAGGAGTTTAAAAGTCCTACGTAGGAGTTACAAACTCCTAATTAGGCTTTTTTATCTCCTACGTAGGAGTTATAAAGTCCTACGTAGGATTTATAAAGTCCTACGTAGGACTTACAAAGTCCTACATAGGAGTTTAAAAGTCCTACGTAGGAGTTACAAACTCCTAATTAGGCTTTTTTTATCTCCTACGTAGGAGTTTATTTTTTTATAGAACATTATGAATTGGCACCAGGACGCTTCCGTATGTTTTACATCACAGACGATGAGTGAAAAAATAATTAAGTTGGTATCTTTACTTTACAAGCACAATCAATTAAGCTGTGTCAAGCTAACAGACTTTCTTTTGACTTTGAAGATAAAATGATGTAACAATATCATTCTGAATCATCATTCATTTAAAGTATGAAACCATAAGAATTACAATTTCAGGATTCAAGTGATTTTCTCTAACTCTCTTTTGCCTTTGATGTTACATGTATAAGAACACATTTTAATGAAATAGAAAATGACTATGATAAAAATATTACACAGCCTGATGATGTGAACTAATGTATCTGAATTTTCAACAATTGTAGAAAATATTCACAAAAAGTTCAGTACATCCATTTACTTGGGGAAAAAAAGATACAACATGTATAAAATATCTGATTTCTTTGCCAGTTAAAGAAATTAATGATTTGCCACACTGGCTCTAGTTAAAGCAGATGGGCAAAAATAATTCAAACAATAGAATTGTAAAACAAATTTCTTTTGATATACTTAAAACATCTGCAATAATTCTGGTATCACAGTATTTATTTATTACTGAACACACATTGTAAAATCACTGCCAGGTAGTAATATTTTTACCGCACCAATTTAATGGTCAACTATAACAGTAATACTGAGGCTGTATTATGTCAAAGTTTGAAGGTATTCATTGCAAATGCATATTGTCATCCCTTTATTCTAAGTCTCTTGAAGTGTTCTTTTTCTGTCAGGATTACGTACTGTATATTGAATATTGCTTGGTCCTCATATGGGTAATTCTTGTCTCCATCAAGGCTGGAATATCTTTCATTTTTGAATATATTTCTTTATTGTTACTGTCTTGTATTATACCCACAATGCCATGTTTCAGTTCTTCACCAGAAGACTTCACAATCAGTGACTGAAAATAATACACCAGTCAACAGAAGGTGCTCAACTGGTTGTCTTGAAAGTCCTGACTTCTGCCACAATCTCCGCATATCTGATGGTTGATAATTCCTAATAAACTTCCTATTTCGGTTGAATTTCTTTTCCGGAAATAACTCTGTTGAACCCTAAGTTAACACTATCATTTCATTTTCAGAAACAAAAACAAGAGGGCCATGATGGCCCAAAGTCGCTCACCTGTATATAGGCCCCTGGAGCGGGGCCAGTTTTAACCCAAGGGCTTTTATTTGAACAAACTTGGTTGTATATGTATATATATATATATATCCAAAATGTAAAGTTTAAAACAATACGGATAAAAATAGCGGGAGAAAAAAAGAATGAAATGATGCCTTTTCCAGTTTACATTGCAATGGTTTATTAACAAAACTGTAATAAATAATTGAAGAGAAATATCAACCGGTTTCACCCGTATATATATATATATATATGATATATATATATATATGTGTATATATATATATATATATATATATATATATATACATACATATATATATCATATATATATTATATATATAATATGTATATATATATATATGTATATTATATTATCTATATATATATACATTTATATATATATATATATTTTATATATATATATATTTATATATAAATATTAAATATATATGTGTATATATATAATATGTATATATCTAAAAAAAAAAAGTCAAGCTAATGAATGACCCCCGGGCGGGGCCAATTTTGACCCCAGGGCTTTTATTTGAACAAACTTGGTAGACACCCATGAGAACATGTTTCATGCTAAATATCTTAGCTCTAGCTCTTTGAGTTCTTTAAAAGAAGATTTTTAAGTTTTTACTATATGCACATAGGGAAAATCAATGACCCCCGGGGGCGGGGCCAATTTTGACCCTAGGGCTTTTATTTGAACAAACTTTGTAGACACTCATTAGAAGATGTTTCATGCTAAATATCTTAGCTCTAGCTCTTTGGGTTCTTTAAAAGAAGATTTTTTAAGTTTTA